TGTAATTGAGATTTCTTAATAAACTCATCGAGTTGCTTATTGTTGCTAGTCCATCCATCGGATAATTGTTTATGTCCGCAAATGCACCACATGGAACTACATCGGAGTATTCCACATGCGGCGCAGAAGCCATATCGAGAATAACAATCGTAAAACTTTCTATCGGCAACCATGTAATAATTAGCTTTAGACTTGGTAAACATTTTAATGAGTTTGTTGCGATACTTGTCATTAGACTTGGTAAATCCTTTTATCATGCTGTTGCGACGATTAAGCCATTTGGCATATCTTCTGAACTGACTGATGTCGTCATTGTACTCGTCTGTCGGAAGTGAGTATATTCTGGCAAACTCACTCACGGAAGTTGGTGTACATTCTTCGCTACTTCCAAGTGATAGTAACGTTATCCTGTCTTTATAAACTCTACCATCATTAATATGCCTGTGAATAGCGTAATAGAGGTTGTCAGTTTGACTTGACTCTATGTCGTTAATTTGCGAGTAAGGAATCCATTCAAGAGTTCTTTTACTAGTTGCGATCAAGTTGTCAATTACTGGATGTTGAATGTCCTTAATTAACGACATGGTTTTGAATAAAAAACTTTTTCACGGAGAGAGAGAGATCATTCTCAACAATTATTGTGTTACCTTGCACTGTTACGTTTCTAGTATTGCTATTGAATTCGGTTAGGCATAGATACAGTATAACATTTTAGTGATCATGTTAGGTGGAGTTTTTTGTTTGTGCAATCTTATCATTCTTCAATTGTTGCTTCTTGCGGCTAGCTAGGTTTTTCGTAAAGACAAAAATTTATTCTGCTCGTTACAACACACTATATTAAATAAACGCAAATATCACGTTTAGGCGACTGATAAAGTAAGTGGCCCAAAAGTTAGGTTTAAGCACTTAGAGAAGTTAGATTGCCATAACAACGTACAAAACGTTAAACTGGCAATGGATACTCTGTATAAACCATAGCAATTGGAAACAGAACAAACTGGTGTTAGATTTTTATAAACTTACAGTCCGAGATTGCGCAATTCGTTCTCGCAAACCCGCATCGTAACTGCACTTTGTAAATAAGCGTAAGTTCATATTGTCCTTAATAAAAAACCAAAACATCCAAACTGGGATTGTGCGAATTTGCAATGCATTTTGTAATGCTCTCGTTCAACTTCAACTCGCAATGCTTGAACTTGTTTCGTAAATAAGGGCTAAAATCAGCAATACGTAAATTGAATTTAACTGACACGGTATCACAACAAGGTACTCGCCAAAGTCCAGTTAAAGCTGTTCTTATCTATCTACATACCTATGGAAACAACAGCCATTATAAGGTGTTGGAACTGTATGGAGAAACCACTGCGCGCGCGGACAATCATGATGATTACGAAAAAGTAATTGTGCCACAATAAATACATATAATGTAGCAAAATAGAAATTTTTGTTGAATTTTAATTATGTTATAAATACACAATAATATCTACCACATCTGCGTTCTAACAATATTCTATTTTATATTTCTCTAATGATAGCAATTGTTAGTTGTTGATCCCACAGTTCTATTATAGGACACTTCATTATCTCTATTGTCACTATAGTTGTTACCACAGGAAAAGCACTGTATGTTTACATAAAATGGTGTATTTTCGTTGTTGTATGTAAACATTAAGCGTGCCAAGCCGACTAGTAATAAAAGGATAATAAATGCAACAACAACCAATACTATTCGAGTAATATTCGAAATGCTGAAATACTGGTTTTCATCTGTACCTGACCCAACGATCGAAGAGAGCTGCGACTGTGCTGAGTCGGTGGGCGGTAATAAACTATTATAAAATCAAGCAAGTATATAGTATTATTATTATAGCGTTACATTATATGTTTGTATGGGTAATTCTAGTCTCTATTTTTTAGATCAAGTGTATAGACTAAATAGCTACCTTGACGGAGGTACTTCTTGGGTTAAATAGGCAGTCGATGCAGCTGTCGTAGGTGTCGGCATATCGTATGACACGCTTTTATATAAAATCAATAGTTTGATATGACACTTCAGAATATTAATCTTACGGCTGCTTAGCATTACGTAGTTCTATTGTCAGATACTTACTTCATTGTAGACACGACAAGTCGAGGGTTTATGGCAAATATGGAGTATGCCTTGAAAATAATAACTACGGTTATCATGTTTATATACTTGATCATGTTGTTGTTATTGTCTTGTTGCTTGGATCGATGACCAGACAAAAATATCAAGAGTTTACTACGGGTTGATAATTAGTTGTATACACTATTCAACAAAAAGGTATTGGCGTTTGTTTATGGAGACTTTGTTAGCCTAAATAGCTACCGTGTCGTATCGTTATTATGACTCGAGAAAGAAGGAAAGAAGGAGAAAAGCTTTTTAAATAAAAGGTCTCCATACTGCTTAAATAGAAATTGAATGTAGTCTTATTGAAGGAACTTAACCATTATATCAATAGACAAGTTACAATAGCGGTTAATGGTGCGTAGGGAAAGCATTAGCTTTTTTGCTTTGTGAAAGTCATGAACGAGAATGTATTGCAAGAGCTCACATGGAGATTGAATGGAACGATCTCCGCCCTTATTAGTTGTTATGTATTACAAGGGGAAATAATATCCTCATACATAATAATAATATTGTCATATATTACTAAAATTCATAGTTCTAACAATGAATGCATGGAAATATTACATTGATAATGTCTCCTTGCAATAAGCCGCTTAAGGTCTTGCATAGGATCGATCGATCTCTAAAACGTCATAGATAACTTTAAATGCAGGTACAATAATATTGCAGTACGCCAGTCACTAGTCTAAAAAGGAGTCTAATATTAAGAAGAAAGTTTTTTATTACTAGATCCGCAATACATTAACATTTGTCCATTTAAACATAAATTGGGTACTCTAATTCCGACACTTTTTTCCGACACTTTATGCACTAGTCCTAATTAGTCCATTTATGTCGACGACGATTTGAAGAATATGCCGTACGACCATAAAAGTGTCGAACTTTAAAATAGCTTGGGAAATAAATTCCCACATTGTTGAATTATTGACTATAATGTATCGGATACCACAAAGTCAGAACAATTCAGTCAACATTTTCAGAATGGCTTACATTACAACGTTTGTAAGAAAGAGACTACTGAGCATACGCAATCATAATAATGAAGGCCATGTTGGAACGAAAGATCTGCTTCATATTATGATGTTGGATTTCAGCATCGCATCGTGGTAATTAATCTATTTTGCAGTATACTCTATCCAACTTCTCTCACGTTTAATGTAATTCTTACTAAGCATATCTGATTTGCGATAAGATATTTCACAATGCATTGCGGAGAAACTTTGATTCAACAGCCAAAGGTCGGAATTGTATGTAATAGAATGGCATATTCTGAGCATCATTCGAACCTGCTTACAAGCTAATAAATATTAAACGATCTACTTAACCATATATATTCAAAAAGTACAAACGTTCCAAGTAAAAATGGTTAGTAAATGACAAATGCATTGGCTACTATTATTTGTGGTTAGTACTATCACACAGTGAGAACGCCTATTAAAGGAATAGTTCTTTCGATCTTCCATATTAATATGCTTAATATACAGAATAAGAAGACAAACGCTAATATTAAAGCAACGTGTCAACGATCAGGTGATTTATATGTAAATGACGTTTACAAATTGGGTTGTATTATACAACGCCGTTTTGACATTACAATAATAACTTTTCTATTAGTTAAATACAGTGAACATAAAACTTTACATAGATTTCACGCTTTTCTCCTCTAGTTTAAGACTATTCATTATGTTGATTGCCCGTCGTTCAACAATTACGCTCCAAACAGTATACAGACACGCTCTCATAATTCTCCCGATATGACCCAACAAGCTCTCGTTTTCATCCCACTCTGCATCCAATTTCAAAAGAGACTCGGTTTTGTCAGTCATCACACCGTCCACTCTCCATCTTCTGCAATCACCGTATAAGCTATTATGATTAACTACCCACGTAAAAACCAACTGTCCATTTGCACGGGCATTGTCTATAAATTTCTGTGCATATAACCCCGATAATGATACGAACAAAAGATTATATCCTGCTACGTCTGGAAAGTTTGTCTCTGCTATTTGAAGAGACACTCCAATATGCATAATTGGTATCTGTGGCAGATACGTGTGACAATAAGGTAGAGACGATGAACGCCATATGCCAAGAAAAAGGCGAGTTTTAAATATCGATAGATCGCCATTGCTGTGCTTTTGTAGTATACGAGAGAGAACTTCAAATATAGTTGGACTGTTATTGAATTTGATATCTAGTACTGCAAAAACATGCGAGTTTTCGGGTCTCATGATGACATCTATAATGTCTTCTATACGAGGGATTGGACATTGTGGATTGGATTTCGTTTTAAGGTGTTCGATTACGCCGTAATATGGAACCGAGGAGATGTGTCCAGAACCAGTCGTTGTTCGATCCAAAGTTGCATCGTGACAAATAATTATTTGATTGTCAGCGGTCAGTTGGAGATCTGGCAAGAAACGACAAAGATATGGTTAAGAGAATGGAGACGGACGCTGCACTGAATTGCCACAATATTCTGTAGACATATTAATATGCGTATGCTAACTCTAACTATAATAAATTGGTTTTTACCAAATTCTATTCCATCTGCCCCATCAGCTATCGTTTGTTCTATTCCGAGGACAGTGTTCTCGGGGTATTTAGTGCTTCCTCGGTGACCAATAATATATGGTTTATGGGTAGTGGAGCGTTCACTAGCATTGCTTACAATAGAAACAGAATCTATACCAATAAGCGAGCGAGACGATTAGAATTATGACCATTTGCGGGCGTCAACTTTTGCTGATAAACAATATTGTAAAATATTTAACATCCTATGCACTGTCTAACTATATCTTACCAGCAACAGTCATTTTTAGGTGTGTGATTTCGATATTATCCAGGGTCTCTAATGTACAAGATATATATACGTATGAATTGTCACTGGATAGGGATAAACAGATTTATCCGATGGAGATACCATGGTTCCGATTTTACGTATAGCGGCCAATACGGTATGACCCGAGGCTGTTTCTATTTTCCGATCCTTAAATCCTTACTACTATTAATAAGCAAAAAGAAATCATGTTTCCCCGTCAAATATTATCAATGATCCATCTTTGTGATATACGATCGACGTCAAGTTGTTGTTATGTTCCAATATTAAATTATGATTAATTTTATGTCAATTCTAACGGCAGTAAGTAATCAAGCTGTTGGCCAGTAATCGTCCTTATACGCTCTTTAAGTTATAAATATCTGTTTCATATTCGCAATTAGAATTTCTGAGCGCACCAGGAAATAATTCTAATAAAATATTTACGTTTACGGCATGATTGCCAACTCGAAACAAATTCCGTTGGTATTTTGAATGGAGAATTGAAGTTCAAATTCTTCGCAGCATTAACAGTTTAGCATGCAAGATTGTTCTTAAACTCATTGGAATTACAGTTTTTGGTTACCTACTAAGAGCTTTTAGTTCAAGACTTTTGGTATTCCAACTCCAATATCTTTTATTAATCTCATTGCAGCAGCAAATACCATGTTTATCACAAACTGTAGAATAAAAATCGTAAGTTTATGTCGAAACGCTGAAAGACTAGCTTTGAAAATACTTTCCTTTTGTCGATAAGATTATATCACATGATCTGTAATGTATTATACCAATTACCGTACTGCCTATTATTGCTTTCGAATAGATATAGACTAATTTATTCAGTAACGAATGAGTTTTGAAGAAATTATTAATAGTGTGGTCATTGATATCTAAAATTTTTGCCATTTATGCATATACTATCAAAACAATGACGATGTAATCAAGCCTAAACCAACCATCTATGTTAGTGTACAAACCAATCCATCGGCTTGTGACGTTCATAAATACGTAGGTCATCAATGTTGAATACGTCTCAAAATCAATAGCATAAATCCTAGGAAGTATACGTCAAGTGAAAAGCAGTAGTTTCATTTACGAAGAACGAGGAAATTATGTAAATATTGATATTAACAAGATGTCTAATGAGTGGTGCTTAATCTAGTAATATGTATTATGAAGATCAATGAGCATTCTCTTTCCATATCTAACGTATTTGCCTGCAGAGTAATTAAGTTGATGTTTTGAGCATAATCTTAGAAGTTCATTAATCGAACATTGAACTTGCATTGGGTTAGTAAATTTGAACAGACATTGTCTTGTCTAATCTAATCTCGCACAAATCTCTCTAGTTGTTTTCTTAAAAAGGGCGACAAACCATCAATGTTAGCGAATTACATGGCTAATCTTGGTAGCTCAAAGTCGGATTATGGAGCTTTCCGACGTCGAGGAAAACAGCACGATTGTGCCCCAATTCACACAACGACTAATGAAGTTTCAACCTGCTTTGTTGTTTGTTTGCCACCAACATCAGTATGATCGGGATCAGCGAAAAAACCGACTAAATTTGGTTCATCCCAGATAATGAACGCAACTGGTTTTAGAGAACTAGACAAATGGATGGCAATTGGCGTTGAGGGGATAACCTTCGGAATGTTGGCTTGCAGACTGTGGGGCATGATACTTGCAGAATCTGGGAAATGCTGTGGGGCATGATACTTGCAGAATCTGGGAAATGCCGTTTGGATGCTACGTAGGCACACTAAGCTAGATAAAGAAATAAAACGTCTTGAAATGTGTAGCGCAAGTCCCTTCTTACGACAAAAATGCTAGGTAGGGAAAGGTTCTTACTATTATTGAATTTAAAAAAGTATGTACAAACATGAGACTAGTGTACACGACCTCTTGATCGCAAACGGGCAATAAAAAATGTGTCGGTTTAACTCGAGAACTCAATTGTTTATGTTGTTACTTGCTCAAAAAGGTTAAGTAAAAGAAAAAAAAAAGAATGCAAGCCGTGTGTAACAAAAACTCAATCTGTGCAACGTTTTATTGTGTCCAGACCCTTAAATCTAAAAGCCAAATTGTTTAAAAGAGACATCATACGTTCGAGCGGGCGCATGCATTTAAAAGCCGAATGACGAAAAAGAAAATAGTGAATTAGTCAAGGCTTTTCGATAGAAAGGTAAAAAAGGCCTAGATGCGGCGACCAATTGTTCTGTGGCTGGTCGCGCAGTTTTTGTTTGTATATTCATTACTAATATGGCAAGACCCATGACGATCATATGTGACTATGACAATATCATAAGAGTTGGGACTTTTTAGCCAACCCGTTTACCATTAATTCATAATTCATATGACAGCGTGCACTTTGGCATTACTTTTCAGTCAATTCAGCGAGCTTAAACACCTGCAGCTAAACCAAACACACGTTGACAACCATGCGGTAAATTGTCAATTTTGAGTTTGCGTATTGAGGATGTGTACTGGGGCCCGTTTATGAAAAAGGTATTCGAGCCATTGTTTGCATGACAGATGCTGCGGCATTAACGTTGGCACAAGTCCCAAATGCACTAGACATGCATAGTAAATAGTGTTTATTACGTATCTACGTATATGGCGTATATTACTCGTTCATCAAATGTAAACTTTTATTTTCCTCATTTAGTAACCACTCGTTCCGTTTCACTGTATATTTGTCCAACCTGGCCCCCCTTAACAAAATCTCAAATTACATATTAGAATTCGACTGCTGCTCTCTCTCCTTTATTTCTCGACCTTCTTTTGGTCGAATAAAATAAAACTACAAACTACAAAAATATTTATATTTAGAATTCTAGTCATCAAATACATATATAATATATGTGTGTTAATGCTGTATCAATATTCGTTGTAAAATTATAATTTTTTATTCATCGGAGATTTTTCCCTCCTTTCTTATACATTCTTCAATTAAACTATAGTCTCTTTTTTTTTCTTCATTCTTATGTACTTTACATTGCACTGGAATTGCTTTCATTCATCCTACATAGAACATTCTTCTTCAATATCCGCAGCTACAAATTATGTTAGATACTGCCCAACGAGACAATGAAACTTCTTTACTGTCAACGACAGCTTTAGAGGGAACATGGCCATTAAGAATAAGTCTGATGTTGCAAAAATTGAAAACCGCTTGGGTACTTCCGGCTGTATGCTATTCAGCCGTAGTAAACGTCGTGGTGCCCGAGTTGGGGAATCTTCTACTAGCACATGTAGTGTATGCATCTGCATACGAATTGATTCGTAGAATTGATCTAAAGAATTTGATAGTAAGTAAACGAATACACAAAGAGCATATATGTCCCATTGACGGTGAATCATTGGTTTTTATATGCATACTAACAATGTTGCTTTCATTCAGATAAATTTAACTCTTGAGCATTACAAATCGGACGATATAATATCACCTCTATACGGTATATTCCTATCAATGTTAATACAACAGTTAGAACTGCTACAACCACTGCAACCGCAACCACAACCATCATCACCACCACCACCACAACAACAACAACAAGAAGAGCCGCAACCTCCTCCACCACCGCAGCCAACCATTGACAGAATGCAAGAAGAAAACAGACAATTCATGACTAGACTCACCAACATGGAGACTATTCTCAAAGCACCACCAGTGAGAAGACTGTCTCGCCCGACCCCACCATCACCATCAACTCTTGTTGCATATGACGACTCTTCCGATTCAAGCATAGAAACGAAAAAGAGTTCGAGATCACAGAAACGATTAAATCGCATAAAAGAACGAAGAAGGTCACAGCGAAAGAATAGTGAACCTCTGTTACCTTTGCGAGAAAACGTCTGTGCTGATGACATGCAAAGATTAAACCTTGATGCAAATGACAGTTACATACAATCGAAAGAAGACATTAATGACGCACATAACACCCACGCGACTAATACAAACATTCCTACAAGTGCTCGTCTCCAGCGCACATACTCTTCCTCCTCCTCTCTCTCCTCCTTATCTCATCCGCCATCTTCTAGCCTCACCTCCTTCTCCTACTCCTCCTCATCATCTGTAGATACAACGTATGACGAAAAATCCCTTTCTCAACAAACAGAGTATTACACAAAACGTATCAATGACGAAGTACCACTCATGGATCCACTCCAATCATATGATCTGACTCACATCAGCACGGGAGGAGTTGGCAAAGTGTACAAAGCAACGCATAAGCGAAGCGACCGTGTTATTGCTATTAAAGCTGTGCCGATAACGTCTTCCAAGTTAATACATTTGACGTATGCTGAAGTGTTTGCATCGAGAGTCTTGAGACATCCGAATATAGTGTCGTTTTATAGTAATTGCAGAAACCAAGACGATTTATGTATATTGATGGAGTATTGTGAGAGGGGTAATTTGTTAAAAGTGAAGAGTAAGAAACAAGAATCCAAGATGAATGAAAAAGAGATTGCATACGTCATTAGGGAAGTTGCCAAGGGGTTGGAATATATCCATACTCAAGGATTTATACATCGAGATATTAAAGCACAGAACATTCTTGTCACTATGGACGGCAAGATAAAAATAGGTAAGCAGGGGAAAAATTTGAAATACTAGCATATCACACGTGATGCATGCTATATATAAAGAATAATCATAACACCATTTCCCCCTTTTTTCGTCCAATCAGCTGACTTCGGCTCAATTTCGCTTCACCCCCGAGCACACCTTAAACTGGGTACTCTTTATTGGATGGCACCGGAACTTCTCTCCGACAAACCCTACGACAACAAAATCGACATATGGTCTCTTGCCATTACGGCAATCGAACTGCTCGACGGTCATCCACCTTGGTTCCCACTGGGCCAACGACGAGTAGTCGAATTGATCAAAACAGTTGGAACTCCGCCAATACCGAGTAACGTGTCACAAGAATTCGAAGCGTTCTTGAGAAGTTGTTTGGTGGTCGACGTAAAGGAACGGCCGAGTGCAAAAAATTTATTGTGGTGTGATTTTTTGAAAAGTGGGATTGGAATCAAAATATAAATACGCGTGAAAAGAAAAGAAAAGAAAAACGCTTTGTTTTGTCAAAGTATGTATTATTGCTGGTTGGTTTTCTTTACATGATCCAACTCTTATCCATTCACTCTTCGAATTTTTAATGATCATAACTGGTTTATAATCTAATCGTGAATGTCTCTAAAGTACAATTCGTTATAAGAAAGCTAGCCGTTCTATAATAGATATTGTCATTTGTATTCTATTTGTAATTCTATTTTATCTTACACTCTTTTTTTTTTTATTAAAAAAAAAAAGAGACTTTGGTTGTATATGTATGAATGAATGCTATGATGATTATGTTTATCGTAAAGCAGGTTTTGCGATTCTATATAGTAGTTTTCTATTGGAGAACTGATTAAAAGTATCTATACATATACACCACACCAAATTTGGTCGCGCGTCATATCTTTTCAATGAGTAACTAAAGATTAATATGCAAAATAATTCCGTTCTTTTGCCATCCATCGAGGCATGCCATCTTATATGTATGAATAACTATGATTCAAGGTATCATTCCGACATATTCACACACGTTGACTCATTGCTACTTCAAAACTAGTTAGTAGCAGATGTTTCAGGAAGCTGTTTTGAAAAATTCATTTCTACCTCACAACCTTACATGTGACGTTCGCCCGGAGATCACCAAAAAAAGGTACGTGCACGCGATTAATATCGATATATGATAATTTGGTTAGAGCGTTCAAATTAGACATGCATCCCATTCCACATACGTGCATCAAAATTATCCTCCCCAACCTGAAATACTTTTCTAACATAAATTCATTGTCAAGTTCTTATTGTAATTGCTGCAAAATCACTAAAACAATTTTGTCTGTAACAAATGTCGCAATAGGCGAAGAAAATTAATAATAATATTGTGATAATAAAGAATCTTTAGAAATAATTGAAATCTCACGCTATGTCAAAATTTAAGAGAGTTTCTAAATAATTGCGATTTGGAATATACAAGCGACGTAATTGCATTATGGAGTAGACGTTAGCAATTTCGATGATTCTGCAAAATAACTAACAAGATAGTCGAATCGAACTGAACTAATCGAAGATATTATTGGATGTAAGCTTAATTATTTAAGTTAATATACGGACGTAAAATCGTCATACTTTTCTTAAATAGTAAGGCTTGAAAGCGGTCAATCTTTTGGACGAACAAAAATATAAAAAGGTGCAAGGCACTTATGATAAACCCTTATCTAGATTAGTAACGAAAATTCGAAAAAGAGAACAATGCCACTAACATGGGGACATAATGATAGCACTAGATACTTACAATAAATTGTATGTATATGATGGAAAGAATAACTGCACGATTTAATGTTTCGTATCTAGTAATGTATGGCAGTGATTTTGTTCGGTGATAAGAGGTCACACATTCGGTGTAGATTAAAATTTTGCTTGGGCAAGCATACACAGTAGTCATGTATCCATCGATGAGGGTAGTTCTCCGCTCGCCTTTTTTTATTATTCTCTCTTCACATAGTTTATTCAATCGAATAGTTGGGAGGGCGGATTTTACGACCACTATATGTTCTACCGATAGTCGTTCCAATAAACAAGCTGCATACAAAACTTTTCGGATTTTCATACTAAAAGCGTTTCTGACCGTCAGAACAACAGTACAAATCTATATGTTATATATAAGTCAATTTCAACAACACGAATCATGTGCATCTTGGCGTATGAATTAGGTGTTCCAGGTACGCAGCTTATTCTATTTTTAACCTGAAATACTAACTACTACAAGTGACAATTCAGTGCGTTGTCCAACGAAACAGCATTATAATAGGAAGCGCAAATCTTCCTTCCCGAAGTGGTTAAATTTAGTTGACGAAAATATAAATAGCAGTAATTCATAGACGTAATTAATGTCGATTCAATATTAGTAATGATCAATTAATTTTGTTCCATATCATTGGTGTAATGTTCTTGCTGACATCGAATATCGCTACTTGTGTATAGATTATCCGATTACTGCGTAAAATATTAATCGGTTTGATAAATTCTATGAAGAGCGTTGTATATCAGAACTAGTATGGGTTAGCGGATAAGCGGAACCAGTGAGACGTAAAAGTAAAAACGGAGACAACCGTTCACATGATGCAAACAAATAAATTCGAATATTTTCCCGCTATCAACAAGTATAAAAACCCCCGCCTCCAAAGCAAGCAGACATTAGATTTGAGGGAGTCGTATATACAACCCAAATCCGTATCACATGCGATCAGCGTTAAACGGGAGATAATTACAAGTTTAAATCACACATGAACGCATAATACATTTTTGCAAAGAAACAAAACTCGAATAACCCGACAAATTTTAATATTAAGGGGCACAGAATCTTATATATAAACTTGTTAACATCATTGCGAATTGAAAAAAAAATTCCTGTATTTCAGAGTAAAAATGTATTTGACGCCATCTTTATCAGCACTCTTCGTAACAGCGCTGTTCGTGTTTCCATCTCCTTCCGCAGCAGATGTACCTGGGCAATGGCCGCCTTTGGATCAAACTCCTTCGTTGGCACCACAGTGGGCTGCATTGGTTAACGTCTCAAGCATACCAAACGCTCCTGTACAAAAAAAGGCTGCAGGCGATTGTAGTCAAACAGCGGTTTATTGCAACTGGTCATGTGATAATTGTAAGAGACCAGGCGATGTTACAATCTGTCCGGGGCAAAATGGTATGAATTGTGATTGGATTACATTTTACAAATTTAACAAGTGATGTGGTAAATTGAATTTTGTTTGTAACAATATTTTAACACTCTCTCTAATAATCCAGATTGGGGTATAAGCTATGATGACGGGCCATCAACATACACGCCAGCGCTTCTCGATTATCTTAAAAAGAATAACGTTACAGCCACTTTCTTTATCATTGGTTCGCGTGCATTTGAAAATCCCGACATTCTCAAGCGCACAGTTGCTGAAGGACACCAAATAGGCGTACACACATGGTCACATCCTTACCTTACTACTTTAACAAATGAGCAAATTATGGCTGAACTAAAATGGACAGAAACCATAATCAAAACAATTACTGGAATTACGCCCTTATACATGAGACCACCTTATGGAGATGTCGATGATAGAGTAAGAAGTATCGCAAATCAGATGGGATACAAAGTTACCATATGGGACGTAGACACCAATGATTGGCTATCAGATAATAACCCAAAGTTTAACCGAGCCTCTATTACCAACGTAATCAAAAAAGCTGTTGCCAAGAAATCACCAACCGGACATATTTCGCTTGAACACGATTTATATCCAGTAGCTGCTGCAGAAGCTCCCAAAGCTCTTGATATTATTTTAAAGGCCGGGTTTGCTGCCAAGCCAGTGGGTACATGTTTGGGAACAAAGTTTTATGTAGAAGATAGCAATTCGACAACACCAACTCCTATAATAAATAGCACACCAACTCCATCTGCCACAACAAATTCTGCTACGGAAACAACATCTGCTGTGCCAACCGCGACTGATTCATCCCAATCGGATGCGTCTTTATCTACGGATTATTTATCGTCGTTTGCATTGTTTGTTACTTCAACATTCTGTATAATGTTTTTTGGTTTGATAATATAAATTTTGTAATATGTACTTTTTCCTGGTGAATTGTTGATTGTTAAAATAGCATATAGAATTGCATTGACAATATATTTTATTCATTTTCGCAATGTATTTTGCCCACACAAAGGCATCAAACCCGACACAATCCGTTGACTATTCAAAACTAAATTTGTTATATGGCTTTTTGGGAATCATGTCAATTAAAAAAATACATTTCATTTTGTCATATATCCTGTCGATCGTGGTGCATGTGAATCATGTGTAGTCCCACCCCCTCATGCGTGACTCCCAAGTTAGGATGCTAATGTCATATGAGGTTGTGTGACTTTGGACATTGGCCAATCTGACATAGTTCCGAGTCCATTCTGATTTTCTCACGTTCTCCCCCCTGAAGGTCATACGGCTCCAAAAATAGAACGAACAAAGGGAAATTAGAAGATTTTCTTCATTTAACCACGATATTAATTATAATATTAATATGTTTATCGTTATCGCAATACTACCGTGACACAAAAGATGCCATGTACAGTTTATCGACAATTGTTAGAGCCTCTCAAGCTTTTCTATAGCCAAAACCCCACCTTTGCGTATTCAAATAAATAAATAGAATCTATAGGTACGAATGTTCAAATTTTTATCCTTAAATTATTCTAGCCTTGTTAGTTGGCTCACGCGCGCATTCTCGAGAACCATTGACCAGTCTTACTTACACGCGACATGTTAATACCGTTTGACTGACTGTATACCTGGTTTAACCAAACCTGATGTCTGCATAATTAAAAGATTATATATAAATGTCAATAAAAGCCTTTTATAACGCAGTCGTTAAAAACCAAATATTAAGTAATGAATAGAATAGAAAACGGTGCTTCGAATTTAATAAATCAAGTCTCCATGACCAGCCAAGTACGTCTAATTCACTACATTAAATTTCATTTTTTGAGATTTCCAATGCTTTGTAACTAGTAAACATTTCCATGCGCAAAGCATGCAGAATGGTCTTTCCGTACAAAACAATGCAAATTCCGCGGAGTATAAATCATATACATTTTATATACCGATATTAAATAATAGAACATTTTACAATTTTACTTTTTGATCACTTATATTACATACGTATTATGTATTGCACATATAAAACTTGTTGACTACATAATTAATAACGTGCAACATTATTTGTTGATACTTTTATTTATAGTAAGTGCTTAACTCTTCAGGGCATATACTTACCTTACCAAATTGTTATTAAAATTTGGTTTCACTTTGCTTTAAGTTAATCTCTAATACATTTTTATAGTTTCAATATAAGCATTTAATATTACCCATATTAATATTCACGTTAACTGTAAAAGACTTCTATTATTATAGTAACCAAAACATTAATGTATTATTTTATCAATATACAGTATTAGACAACTTAACATTAACATCTGATGCAAATGAGCGAACAAAAGAGATCAGTAACATTGATTAATTAGATAATAACTACTTCTGTACATTGCAAGCATGCACTATCAAACCTCTGTTATCCAAAGTGTTCGGCATACATACAACAGTCTTGAGAAGAATCTCTATACTTTAAACCAACTGTATTTACATTCTTTTTCTACAATGATTGCAAAATAGTGCTGCTAACATAAACAGACGCCACGCAATTAGAGAATACATCTTAATTTGATGTCTTTACAGATAAAAGATAAAAAATACGCTGCGCTTGTAGGATTAATTAGGTTTAAGAGAGACAATTGTACAACAGATAGCTCTAGGTTCATGCAACGGAATGTTTTTTACCAGTTAATTTAGGGAATGAAATCCTTACAACTGATGTGCCCTTCTACTATATAATACATAGTAATCTTGTAGAAACTTTACTAAACACTATTGTACAGACTGGAAGTTTCATGTTTCTAGTATATTGTCATGGATGCGATTGAATTACTCTGTAAAATTAGGCAATTCTACATGTGATGCGCGGTGATAAGCGTCTGCTACCGAAAGAAATAAATTCTCACGGCAGATTAAATCAAGTGTCTTACGAATAATACGATAAATTTCTCTCATTTTTCTACATGTTTAATGTTCCTATGTGTCTAATGTTTTAATGTCCTAATGTTCCCAATTAATCGAAATAATTTGAAATAAAGTCGCAATAATACGCAAATCTAATGAATAGCGAATAGACTTGTGGATAATTAATCTATTGATCAGATAGAAGAAACAGTAAAGACAATACGGACGAAAGAATCGTAATCCCTTTACTGTTATTTGCAAAACTTGCTTTAACTGTGAATAGCCTTAACTTACGGCTGTAATAAATTTAGTATTATCGTCAGCAAGATCGTATTGACTACATGAGTTGGGAACCTTACCAACTGTCAAGAAAGGTTGAGGCTGAATATCGAGCTAAATCTCAAAGTCAGCTGCTCCCTCTTTAGCTGGCGGGACAATATCTTGCAGGTGAGAATGCTTACTTGTATTAATATAGATTGCGCTTTGTATTTGTCTTATATTTAGCTTTATCTTGATATTGGTTACTGGTATTGCAAAGATATTGCGTTACGCAGCCCTCTTTACGCATGTTCTCCATTGTTATTTCTCGATGTTAATAAACATGCATATTTCATTCAGCGGAAACGGTTTATCAGATAGTAATATAATCTTCAATGGAACTGATAACAACATTGTAACTGTTTTCTTTAAATGCAATTAAAGTACTGTATAGTATGCAAACACGGTATTTTACTAAGGTCAAAGGTTAAAAATTGTCGCGCATCATACAATGTTGTATTAGACAAATAATCTATTATAGTAGTAAGAACAAGAGACCCTCTTAGTCAAGAAACACCGCAGCGTCCTCGAATAAATCTATCTTTGTGCCATTATGTTTTGTATTTGAAAGGTTATGCTTTATTATAGCAGTTAATAGCTGCACGTTGAAATGCGGTATTTTATTTTGAAATTAGTTGCATTAAAAAGGTACCTAAATAATAAATTATGACAATGACACAGTGATAAAGTTCTCCCGGAGCCAAGGTAAAAAGGATAACCCAATAATTCTCATACAAATACGCAATCGACGGTTAAAGTCAAAACAGATAAAAGAAGCTTTGCAATAATATTTACTCTAATGATAACGCTCTATGCTGTATAATGGGTATATCTCTACAACGTCATAATGATGCAATCGGATTAGACATAAATCCAAATTAGCGGTATAAACATAAGTTCGAGTACAAAGAGCCGCCTCCTGAAGTTTCGTCAGACAGATGAATACAAACATGTTAAGGGTCACAAACAAATCAGGTTAATTAAAAGGTTTGACGTAATTAGTGCGATCTTTCCTAAGATCCATACCTGTTCATGATCAAGCATACACCTATTTAGAACTAACAGTGGCGGAAAACGCTTCTCAGAATTTTGCGCTCCCCCGAGTACAAATGACCAGGCAATTTTTATTTGTGACCAATTGGGTAGATATTGATCTGCATGCCAAGGTAAACAACTCTCCATTTATGGATCAGATGTATGTCATAGGCGACGATCAGGAACAATGTATTTGCCACCAATGGATTCCGAGTAAAAAATGATTAGCCATCTAAGTAATCTAACGCTAAATGTAGGTTCCTTATCTCTGCCAAGATTTACGGTATTATGAAACCCGCCGATAATTAATAGATCAACGTAACGGTCATAGACGAGGTTGCATTCACATAATTGAATATTACCTACATACACATGTTAAAACCGATTTAATTTTCCCACTTTGTCTGTCTCAAAGCTGCTATCATGTTAGATGACTTATTACTCACATTTGTATTAACTCAATCGGCCATCGAGCGTGCGGGTATTTTCATTATATGACGTCGAATTAAGTTGTAGCAACATTCAAAATAGATCGTATCTTATCGCTTCGATAAGATTCCCTAACTCAAATAGTTCGTGCTCTAAGAATCGACAAGTTTTCCTATTTTTTATTTGTTTTCATAATTGAGTAGAGACAATAGTCGTTAGTCTCCAACTGCGATATAAGTTAGTTACTTTATCAAAAGACTCTAAAACGTTACTTTTGAATGGGCCTCTCCAGTGAACGTTGAATCCAGTATAATTAACTAGATGTACAATTAAAGTGTGCGCCAATATAATTGCCGTATCGTATTTATTACTCCTACAGATTTTTGTATTGTCTACGGTAAACGTTAGTGTTACCATAACTATAACTAACCGTTTGGAGCATTCTCAAACGTAGTCACCGCCAATATTGAAGATGATATTTATATATTATACAGGTCATGTATTTGTGCCCCATAAATAGAACTAATCCATATATATATAAACCTCAACAAGGACCATCGCATTCCCCTCAGCGCGCAAACATTTCCTCGGCACTTTACTTTCGTCATTACTCCTCATTGTGCAAATTGATTTTGTACAGTATTCTCACTTCCATTTAAACCCTCCCCCCTCCCCCCTTCCCAACAGACGCTCATTTCTCCTCCCCCCTCTTTCCAATTAGAATAACATAGTCAAACTTTCAATTTATACTTATCCCATTCATTAATATCATAATGCATTTGGCATCTTTATCAGCTCTCTTCACAACAGTGCTTCTTATATTTCTATCTCTTTCCGAGGCAGCGCTGCCAGGAACATGGCCAACTCTGGATCAAGCTCCTCCAATGAAGCCAGAATGGGCTAAATTGGTTGACCTAAAGAAACTACCAAAAGCTCCCGTACAAACTGCACAAGCTGCAGATTGTTCCAAGGCTGTAGAATTCTGTATATGGTCATGTAATACTTGTATACGAAATGCATCAGATGTCGTAGCTTGTCCAAACAACAAAGGTATGATGGAGGCACTATACAGAAATGAGAGAAGTGAATAAGATGGGCTGATTAGGTCTGAACAAAGCGGAGGTTTTGAGGTAGAGGAATTGGGGTTTGATGGATATGTGATACAAGAATTTTATTACAAGTTTATTTATACTCATCTATAACAAATTCATTAACGATTTCCCAGAGTGGGGTATCAGTTATGATGATGGCCCGTCACCTTACACACCAGCACTTCTCGACTTTCTAAAAAGCACCAATACTAAAGTCACCTTCGCCGTCATTGGTTCACGTGTCGTCGAACGTCCCGAGATCCTCCAACGCATCAAAGACGAAGGACACGAAATAGTAATACACACATGGTCACATCCGTCACTTACTACTGTATCAACACAACAAATCATTGCTGAACTTAAATGGACCGAGTTGGCAATTCAAACCGCCGTCGGGTTGACTCCCAAGTTTATGAGACCTCCATTAGGTGACATAGATGACAGAGTAAGATCTATTATAACTCAGTTGGGATACAAAATTTTATTGTGGGATCGTGACACATTCGATTGGAAATCGGGCAGTGACCCTAGTTACCAGCCCTCTTGGATTACGGGCAATTTCACACAATGGGTTACTGATTCAAAGGGTCACATTTCGCTTGAACATGATTTGTATCCAGTAGGTGCTGCCAATGCTCCTGCAGCCGTAAACATTGTTCGAAATGCTGGATACACCATAAAGCCCGTGTCTGTATGTACGGGATTGCAACCGTATGTTGAGAACGTTCAACTAGTTGCCAGCGGACCGGCTCCGCCTAACGCTACTGATGGTACAGATGGTACAGCCAATGCAACTTCAACGAATAACACATCATCTTACAATTCATCGTCGAATTCTCCTAGTTCTCACTATTTGTCATCACATGCATTATTGATTGTCTTAATAATTTCTATGGCTATTTTCAATTTATGATATAAGTAAACATGCTACGGTTGGGATTCGGTTGTGGTTTACCTGTGGAGTTTGAGTACAAACTTGTTAGTATTATAGAATTGTCAAGAAGCTATCAAATTTACGAATTTATTTAGTGGTATATTATTATGATTCACACAATAATTTGATCATGTGTACATAATAAAAAGAAAAAGCTTTCAAGTACGAATTGGGTATGAGCTCCGACGATCGAATTTCTTGGCGCTCGTATAATATATTGTAAAAGTATCTTTGTGAAGTCTAACAATCTAATTTTTTGTTTCAAGAAAAAGGCCGATGTACGTACATCTTGAAAAACGTATTTGCGCGAGTACAGAATGCTCCATGTTTTTCCATGTGCTGTGCAAGTTGACTGAAGGGGAAAATATTAAAAAGAGAAACCGATACAATAAAATAGTCGATACAATAAAATTACACTCTTGTTTAGCATATTAGATATTACAAATTACGCCTTGATGAAACGTCTGATCAAAAGTGTGAATTTTGAGCCAACCTCCTCTGTAGCAATTATCAACAAGATGAGAATAAGGGTCTCCGTTAATTATCTTTGAGTGTTGGTCACAAAAGTGTTACCTATTATCTTAATAGCCACTTTCATTTATCGCCCGGCGTCTTATTAGCAAATGGCTTGATCCAAGGATAAATCTACGTGAATTTGCCTGAAACATTGAGCCGGACTATTCGAAAAATCAAACATGTTTCAAATTTGTTTGTACTTGGATAATATTGCATCAGTTTCTGGGTCAACCTCTAGTTAGAAAGATCGGTAAAAATCACCACCAAGGATTTTAATTATTATATTAAATAATGACAAGTTAGCAAGATGGATACGTCTCGCTACGTATAAACTGAAACTGCGAGGTTAATTACGAAAACCAATATGGATGTGTTGTGTCATTTATACCTTTAAATAAATGCAATGTAAATTAGACTTTATCAGTGGCTTAAAGAAAATAAATAATTTGCTGCTAGCGAGACAGCTTGACAATTGCCAGAATAAAATTTAGTTACTTCCAAATCTTTGGCCAAAGTTAAATAGCGCTGTTTAATTGTCTGCACGTTTGACCGCAGATCCTATTGTATTTATCAATAAAGACTTGCCCCAATAGCATAGCGCCAAGGCTGGCATCGGAAGTTATCTACTTTAAGAGTACAATCTGGGGAAAATACGTTTCAAAGCTATTGCATAACGTACAGCATATTCTTATAGTTTTCTAAATTTAAGTGCGAGTATATTTATAGCTCTCAAATTTGGACTATCGAACTACCTTCTTAAATTCCGTGTTTATTAAAATCGAATTCTTTAATTGAACATGAAATGTTACTGTAAATTGTAAATATAATAATTAATTATCGAAACTTTTTTTTATCGGTTCAATCAATGGCATAAGAAACATTGACATACTGTAGCTTCCAAGCTGCACAATTACCGTCAAGTTTTTGCAATACTATATTTTTGTTTTTCCTTACAATACATAGAATAAAAGATAATTGGCAGAGGGGGGGGGGGTTTGAAATACCTAATTTTTTTTACCCTCCATAAATGCACGCTATCTCCCCCATTCCCAAGCTTGGGAGTTAGACGTAAATGCACACCCTCTACATTTTGCACGCCCGTGATTTACACAATATTATAGAGTTACACATTGATATATCAAATTGTGCCACTTACGCAACAAATAAAGAAATTACTGTTAAATTCGACTCGCAATGTTAAAATTCTTGTCTGACAGTAAGTCAGTTGAAGGTTTTCTAAATAATCAAGAAGAAGAATAATAATAATAAGAAGAAGCAGTTTCTGATATCGAATTATATAAAGACCAAATATTTACCGATACTAGCAGGGAAGAAGCCGATTATGGTGCTGGGCCCGTAATCATTAGCGCTAATGAATCAAAAAGCTAGTGATCTATGCTGCTTTGCAAGAACAAGAAGACTCTGCGGATTGTTTAAACATGTCAAAGCACTTGATTAGTATGAAAGTCAATTACAATAACGATGGATCAATTTTTTAAACAAATAACCAATGATAATTGAAACCAATCAGATTTTTTCCTCACCCTCCGTCCCCAAGGGCGTGCATTTATGTATTTCTATTACGTATTAACTAACAGTAATCCCCCATTAGAATTATAATAATGTGCGATTTAACTAGCTTGCAATATGTTTCTATTTTACTTATTTTGTATGCGCCAAACAATACCGTTTCTTACATTATTTTCCATCTTATTATATGTGGATGGGGAAAACCCCACTGATATAGCTCGCTTTTATTGTGAACTGTGAAATAATCAAGTAATTTCTGCGGTACTGGGATTACAAGTATGATAATCATTAATAACGAAATCCAAGTCCAAAACATATTAATTTTATTTGAAATGGCTGCCGAGCACTTTCAGCTCAGATCTCAGAATTGAGTTTTCTAACTCTTGTTCTCAATAAATATCGATGAAATGGAATCAAACCGTCCCTAATAAAAAAAGCATGATTGTTCTTGCATATATGTTAGCTTGCTGCAAGCGATTCAATGTTATAAACAATCTATAGCCGAATGGCTTACAAGAGATAATCGAGGGACATGTTGTATTCAGAAAAAATTTACTGAAAACCCAAAGTATTACTTTTAATGTTAAAGTTTGCGATACGATCAAATATGACTATATTATCGACAAAGGATTATAATAGTCGTAAACAAGTACACAGGTGGAACCAAAGCAATATTTAATTATGAAGAAGTATGTCAATATCTGTCGCAAAACAATGTTGTTGATGCATAAATTAAAATAACTCTAGCGATCGACATTGCACTCTCTATTAGTTTTTACAGCCGCTGATCCTGAAATTATCTGAATAGTATTGCTCAGTTACACCGTTGCGAACAACGCGAACCGCAACATTATAATTATGATGGTTTTTAAGACCCCGAGGGATTCGGACGGTTCTTTCACCCGCTGAAACTGGAACACTCACTGCTGGAGGCGAAAATTGAATAACGCTTGCGACAAACTCAACCAAGTTAAATTCGAGAAAAGTAAGACCTTGGTATAGTTTAAATGCTGTAAAAATTAAATATTATAAAATATAGATTAAATTTCTTGAAACCCCCCCCTTCCAAATCAAAAATAAACCATGGCACGTTAAAAAATATACTTACGGTCTTTCCATTTGACCCTGAGTTTACCACCACACTAAATAATAAAAATTATGTATATATTAATACGTGATTGGGTAACTTGTTCCATCATGAAATCTTTGGCTTAAAATTTTCATACATGAGCATTTTTATTCGTGCCAGGAAGGGTAAGAATTAGCCCGAATCCAGGGCTACCGACAGAAAAAGACGCAGAACTAGCCAAAAGCTGATTATTAGCTACGAAATGAAAGGCATAAAAAGGCGCGGGGGAAAGTGGGCCTGTGATCGGGTGGTACTTGAATGTGAGACACTTTTTTCCTATCAATTTTTGGGAAAAAAGAACAATGAATTAGCTGCTATTTGTAATTAATGCTAATGATAGTAGTAATATTACTCACCTGGCTGTACTGTAATACTTAATATAGTTATTTCCAAGATATGAAATCGATCATTGGATATAAGCGCTATGGAATCAATTGAAGTAATCCCAGGTCCGGGGCAGACCTCATAAGGAATGTCCTCACCAACCCCAAAATCATTTCCGTGTACTTTTTAGTGAGCATTGATATTTAGTCTTTTTGTTAAATAATTATTTGATAAAAAATTTAGCGTAGAAGTTACCAGTTTAAAAATAATACCTGGACTGCGGACTACAAGGGAGGGGACAGTTATAGAAGAGGCACCAAAGTTAAAGAGAAATGAGAAGATCAAATATGCAATAGCAATGCGATTCATCTTAACGATTTTATGGAGCCGCATTAAGAGATTTGAATGCGGAAATTCAGCTGTTAAATATTTTTTTACGGAACACATTACAAGCAATGCTTGTGTAATTATAGTGTCGTGAGACATATCACCGCACAGGGGTTCACAATTTAGCATACTCTTCGTATAACCTCGATTTCTTTTTTAAGAATTTTCGCTTGATTAAAAATAGTTCTGCAATAGTATGCTCAGCTCACATCAGGCTTACCCAACTTAAGTTTGCTGACAGATCTGTTAGTAATATCTGCTATCCAGTCAGAATGAAGCACTCGAATAATATAGTGCAGGCGTATTACAGCTTGGGCATGCATTAAATGCAGTTTCCGTCACAATGTAATCTCTAACAGCTGATAGTAATATGTAGAATGGTCCTAAATGACATTTTCAAACGTCATCTCTCTTGAATGAAAAGTATCTCCTAAGTCAAATGTAAGAGATGCCTCGCCCATCATCAATCTAGAATGTGCCTTTTTAATTCCAGTAGTTGCTCATACAAATCGTACACTCCTGAGATTTATTAATTCCTGTTGGCTAAAAATTTCGTGCAAAATCAAGTCTAAATATATCCGTTTGCGCAACAACGCTGTCTTAGTGCATACAGGGGATTCATACAGGGGTACCATTAAAGTTAGCCTGAAACACACTCTTCAATTGTTATATAGTCATATTAAACGAAACAGCATCATTTCAGTATTTAGTTGGGACCTCCATTTACTTCAATTACTGCTTTACAACGTCGGGGCATGCTTTCGATAAGATTGCAAATTTTGGCCGGAATAGCATATTCTTAATATACGCTGATGCATTAACATAGCCATTAACTGCCGTATTGTTTTTGAAGCGAGTTGATTAGTTAATGAAATTAACGGTTGACGACACACAACGCGGGAATGATATCCTAAAGAGTAAATGGCTTTGCAGAAAGCATTAATAGAGACTTTTTTCCACTGCTTTCAATCTGCTGAATGAGTTCTTGCTCCACATTTAATTGTCTGCTTAATGGCACGGTAATTGTGCTCATTAATTTTTTTCGGCTTGATCTAACACTTACTTTGTTTGTATTTTTATACCGGTTAATAATATTAGAAACTACAGCCTCACTACATTCGACAACTTGAGCAATAACATTTTGCTTCCAACGTAAATTTCACCACCTTCTTTGAAACTCGGTTAGTTCTGGACCGCGAGTCATATTCTTTTCTTTAATTATGTGTGTTCTCCGCAAATTTTATTAAAAAATTCAAAACAAACGCGCTAAACGCATTCTCTAGTTAATGGTAAGAATAGCATGCTTACGTGCGTACATGAAATTTCGTGCTTATTCAGATTTAGGGTGATCACACAAACCTTTGGTACATAAAGACTCGAATCATGATACTGTATTAACCAAGAAAGTCTTTATTGAAGTGTTTCCACTAAAGCCATTTTCTATGTTCGAAGTTAGACAAAGACGACTTATACTAAAACCTTAGATTACAAACGCCTTTTATTTTTGTGCGCTGTCTGTAACGAAAAACTAGAAGGAGATGAATAACTTTTTGCAGCATCATATCGAATAAAGATTATTGAATTTTGTCTTTATCAAGTGCTTGTCTGTTTGCAATTTTTCAGTGTTCTTGAGTAAGCTTGACAAATCTATCCTGTACCTTCAATGTCTCTGTAGCTTTTATAATATTCTTTTAGTCAAACATTCAAATTAACATCACAAACCAATTTCATCAATTCTCAAATATTATATTTTCTTCAATGGCTTCTTCTACTCAAACTAGTAACATCACTGATGCCACTGAGACTAAGCTGTTCTGGACGGGCGCTCTGTGAGTTTATCGTTTCAACGGAAATCAAGAAAAGACGTATGCTATATGCAATACTTGCACGGAAAAGAAAAAGAAAAGACCTTTGAAATCTGAATCCAGTAGAAGTCAAGACATCAAATCAAGCCCAATAAATATCTAGAGGAACTCGACGAGAGCAATGAACGAAATATTATACGATTCGCTGAATTAGAAGAACAAGTTAATATGCATTTTACGAACGGAACGTTGGACAGAACGGTGAAATATGTTTGAATTCGATGATGAATTAATCGATGATTCTCAAGTATTAAGCAAGATAAAGCAGAAGAAAACCGGGTGCGTAATATAATCGATAATTCACTTCATCGATCCATAATCAACCTGTCTAGATTGACGAACGAAAATGTTTATTATTAAGATCCTGAACTGTCAAAGTCAGATTGTAAATAATCAAAACAGGGATAAAAAAAAAGCATCCTACACAGCAAGTTTGGATAAAGAATTAGTATACTAATACTTGGGTTAATACGAGCATGTCAACAAATCAATTTACGACCACACAAATTAAAGTTACATCACGTGCATTATATCTTAACTATAATCCGATAATAATAACGATAATAATAATAATGGAATTGTATACCGATTATTATTACGATAAATATTCACTGCTTTTTGATAATGGCCACACCTAATCAACGACGAACCAAGGTATTCATCGGCCTTTATACGCCAAGAGCCTGAGCTTAGTTAACTAACATAGCTTGATCTTTGAGCCAGGGAGTTACGATCGTACGTCCGATAGTGTACGGCAACATAGCTACTCCGTTACCACCGCGTAAGACTCAAGAGACAGATCATACGCACAAATGGACTGTTTCTGTTCGCGGAGTCAATGGAGAGGATATTAGCTATTATGTTAAGAAAGTGGTGTTTAAACTGCATGAGACATATCAGAATCCAATGAGAAGTATGCAGTACTATATAATATTATAATACCCTATATACTTATATATTGTTTGGCTAACGTGATTATTCCCTGGGACATTTAGCCATAGAACAGCCGCCTTTTGAAATCTCAGAGACAGGCTGGGGTGAATTTGAGCTAGCCATCAAATTACACTTTGTTCCGGAGAGCAATGAAAAACCAGTTCCACTTTATCACAATTTGAGACTCCATCCGTACGAAGAAGATGGTACTATTTTGAGCGCTAATAAGAACAAACCAGTATCAAGCTTTCAATATGATGAACTGGCGAGTATCTAACGAATAATAATACAAGTCATACCTTAACAGTAGTTCTTATGCATTTACTTGATCCTGCTATTTATTCACTTATTCTCTTGCGACAGGTGTTTACAGATCCAACAGAGGCCATGTATCAGATCTTGACTCAACATAATAGTAGTTCGACACTCCCGCCAAAAACTGCGCCGAATCAGCCATATAGTAAGACTACAAACTTGCAACTTTATGATTTGAATGTAAACCAATATAACTCGTGTATTAATCACAGGTCTACAGGCTGAACAAGAAGAATTGAAATTGATAGAGCAGACGTATCGTAAAGTCCAAGAGCAGCTGCGACAATACAAGGAACGGATGGATGCTGCCACCAATGAACTTCAACAGGTTAAATCCGAATTGGAGCGTCTGAGAGCAAAATGATTGTATAATAATTCTGGTGGAAACAATACGTATTTGTATGTCTTATATACAGAGCTTGTCCCTCACTGAAATATATTCGCCCTTATCAAATCAACTGGACTCGTCGTTTCCTTTTACTTATTGTTAATATTATACAAAAAGTGTGCAAAGTTCATCATATACAGTGTTAGCTAATGGAGTGTGTAACGTTATCATACAAAAAGGTTTTAAGTGCAATACAAAAAAGAAATTACATTCATAGACATAAATTAGTTTAAAAAGAGGCTTAGTGAAGATAAAAAAACATATCTAAATAATAAAAAAGCTTATAATCAATTGTTCATATAAACGTTGCGCCACGATCAAAGAGTAGCATTGTTAAACGAAATATAAGTAGTAGGTAATATAGTAATGTAATGGCATGGTAATAATTAGGTGAGTAACGGAAAATATAATATAGTAAGGGGTTGCATCATTTACGAGAGCTCAACCAGTTGCTGCTTTTTTATATCAATCTCTTGTCTCAATTCATCCAACGATGCCTTCAATGTCTGTACATCTTCAATCTTCCTCTTCCTCGTTGCCTTGGAGATATATTCTTCAACAAGTTTTTCTTGTTCTTCGAGTACACCCAACTGCTGTCTCAACTTTTCACCTTTGGTTGATTTTGTAGATCTAGTTGATTTGGAAGACGAGACAGATAGAGATCGATTACGTCGTGTGGCAATAACAGCAAGAAGATCACCAGTAGAGTCGGCCTCCTCTTCGCAGGGTTTGGGCAGGGTACGACCTTCGGCAACGGTCGCGCCGGGGTGGGCTTTGCCTTGCATTTTAATGCTTGGCAAACTTTTCTGTTGTTGCAGTGGTTTATGTTGCGGTTGATGTGGTGAATGTTGATCTTGCAGGTCTTTTTTGAATATCTTTGGTAATGCAGATAATGGCAGCATCACCAGTTGAAGATACTGATTAGCAGCAAGATATATATTAGAATGAAGACGTCGTTGAGTTTCACTATTGGTAGCCAGTGAATTTATTTTCTTGTTAATTGCATCAAATTGAGTGAAGTATTCTAGGAGCTCTTTGCGTGTACGAGCAGCAACTTGATAGTCTGCATGTGTCTGATTAACTATCTCTTGACTCCTACAAACCGAAAAGAATTGGTGGTAAGGAAGACATGTTATAAATAAACAACACGAACGAAAGAGTGTTCATCGACTCAACTTTAACATGACAAGCATTTCTTGAAATTTGGGTAATGTCTGATCGATGGCGCTTCGAATCTTGGTTAATTTCTACATAATTATAATCAAAAAGTATAAATATGCCAGAAAAACGATCGTATTTATACAAAACAATTTTAACAATGTTAATAATGATTACCTGATATAACATGACAACTTGGGGAGTTTTGGAGACTTCCTCAATGTATTCCCTTCGTCTACAAAATGGTCAGTATGGATAGTTGGTATTCAATTCATTCCTCAACAAAGCAACAGATAAATTGGATTATACCTGAATACTGCATTTCGACATTCTTTGCAGACGCGTACTTGGCCAACAGAATCGTGTTCAACGTTTTCTATGACCGGAAAGCATTTAGTATATCTTCATACTGCATATTGTTATAAAACAACACTAGACACATACCTGTATAATCGTTCGTATGTAGTGAGACTTTCGAAGAGCATTTCTCGTCGATAATGCGTCCACATAAACGACAGTGGTGCTTACGGTTCGTAATCTTTCCGAAAGGAGAACTATCAAGGCATTTCTTTAGCATCTGGGTTCTTTAAATGCAAAAATCGAGAGATTTTTGGTGTTTTCCATCAACCTACTTGCACAAAGGACAGTGAGTTACTGAAGCGTCATCTTCCCATTTGACTATAGACTGCTCCGAAGCTAAAATTATCAAAATAAACATATAAACACATGATTAACCACTACTACTAAAAAAAGTGCCATCAAGAATTACACGTCGCAAGCAACTCTACTAATCAATGCTATTATTCTCGCTAAAACTCTCTTGTGTCAAAACGCTGTCTTCAGAACAAACCTCTTCGACGATGTTTTAGAGTAAGTGGTGGTGCCAACCCACTTTGTGCAGAGTTACCCGTCTTTATTTTCGTCGCATAAACTTTTGCAAGCTATAAAAACAGAATTATATTACACAAGTCAATATTTTTATACAAGTTGACACATTGATAAGCAGAGCTAGTCTACCTTTTCTAGCCGTTTCTCGAGCCTGTTTCCTTCAAGATGAGCTTTCTCAGTACATAGAACGCGGTTCTGTTTAAACTCTTCTGTACGAGAAGACACGACACCTGCATTGAAACAAACCGAAAACATCAGTAACATAAAATAATCATTCTTCTGGTAAATACCACCCTCAAATTACCAAAAGATAACAGCATATACTCCTCCATAAAATACCTTGATCATCCAAATAGCCGTCTCGAGATTTATAGCAGTTATTGCAAACACGCGACCAATAACCATTTACCGGATCATGCGATGCCTGGCGACTGAGTTTCATTTGTAAGTGACAGTGAGTCTCACAGAACAGTTTCCCGCATCTAGGTAACATCAGTAAACGAGGGGCAATCAGAGAGAGAATGACGGAGCAATACTCAACATCATAGATAAAATGCGCAAGTACAGAATACAGAAGGCGCAATGCTGCATTCTCCATTCTTGATCAAACCCACATACTTGCGACAATTATATTTGCCGTTTCTTAAATTCACTGTTTTCCCACAGTTAGAGTGTGAGCACTGATCGTTCTCACTCTCTCTTTGCCAATGACTTCTAGTCACTAGTTCAGAACCTTCGTCAAGTACGTCTAGTTCGCTCAGTTTGTTGATCACGGTTTGCGTCACAGTTTGAGATAATTGATTAGGCAGACTTGCTAGTTTTGCTTTTGATAGCGGCTTCATAAGAGTACTTTGCGCATTCTTAAACCAACTTAAGATGATATCTTTCTTCGCGTTAGATTCTTCGCTATGAACGTCGTCCAAATGTTGATTAAGTTGAGCAAGAGAGATCATAGCTTCATTACAGATCGGACATTCAAGTTTGATTGAATCGTCATACAGTAGCGATTCCCGTTGGGAATTGCCACCAGGTAAAGAGTCCGAAGGGAACGAAGTATTAGGGTAAAAATAAGCTTCCTGTACAAAACTCATTTCAATAAGGAAAGAAGGAATAAAGCTTTAGAAAATAATATCAACAGTAGTTATTAAGGGAAAAAAAAAGGAATCACGACATTAAGGTATTACTGAAACGCACTGCAATTCAGCACAACCCCCTCTCAAGGTAACACCACCCGAATTTTGCGAAATCATGTTACACGTGAATACTATTTGTGTTGTTTTTGCAATGACAGCATACGTAAAGACCAGATAAAGCACATTATTTGTTTTCAAGCAAAAGACAGTACTCAAGGAAGAACACTAATTTAACATAACAATTGTCTGGGATATCTTTTGTAGTCTTAATAGATAACTGTAAGCAGCAATAGATCAAAGCATATCGAATATTTACAGGATGCCATTTCTACTAACGACTTTTGACGCGACCGTCCTTTGCGGTATTGTTAGTAATGATTTTGATGAACGTAAACCTGTCTTCGAAGCATATAGAGTTAATATGAGGCGGGAGACCTTACCAAGATAATTAGGCGGTAATTGTATGTTTTATTTTTAGGCATTTTCAATTCCCACACGCTATTAAAGTTGTGCATCTACTCATAGAATGTTACTTTATTATCTATTACAAATGGAAAGTTCCCGCGTTGATAAAAAAGGCAACAATAGCTCTAAAACTGTTCAATATCAAATTCTGAATATTGATAGTCTTCTTTTATTTATGCATCTGCAAAGTCTGTCGCTATACAGTATGTAAATACCCGATGCAGTTAGCCATAGAGAAGATTTGGTGTTTACGTTTATTATTTTTATTGATATAACAAGTAAATATAAAGCGAAGCAGCTTTTTGCAATTTCAATTTCATTGGGTCACGTTTAACTCTACTATATAAGTATTTATTATGACATATTATAATACTGCACTAAACATCTACTCCGTTCCAAGTTTTGTTGTGGCAACACAACTAGCAAGGGATGGAGAACAGCTCCGTAACTCTCTCGCTTTTCTATGGAAGCGATATTTTTATGCGCTGGTCGCATCAAGTTTTTTTTTAACGCTCTGTCAGCTAACCGGGATTATTCCTGCGGGTCAGAAATATTACTACCAATATCTTTTTGTTATTTTATGCATATTCTTTTTCGTAGGTTTACACCTCGGATACTGTGACTTGCAAGAGCGCCGTCACGAAAACCAGAGACGCCAAGAATACATGAGGCGTCATGAAGATTTCCAGCGCTGGCGGGACCTGCCGAGGTGGGATGACCAGAGACGGGACTCAATCTGGCATTTGTATTGGCAACAGATGCGCCGAGAAGATGAGGCAAATAGGGTCAGGCAACGAGACATTGGATTATGCAACGCGAGGAACATGTCGCTCCTCGTGCCTTCTATCAACAGTTGAATATTGAGAGGCAGAGACCAGATTCTGATTGCTCTGGTCGTGGATTAGAAGAGCGGCTTATTCAATGTCTAGGATACGTGTACATCCAAGAATCTTGCCCGCACATAAGGAAGGATAAAACAAGTGAAACTAAACAATTTACTTATTTATTAATTTATTTATTCATTCATTCATAAAGTTTTTCTTAAATAGGGCCACGTTCTTTTTTTCCCCCGTTGGTCGACTACCCACCCAGAAGGCCGGGTCGAGCAAAAGCTGTGGTTCAAAGTGTTCAAGGTAAAACTAAACGAAATAAACACTGAATTTATTATTCATAAGGTTTATCCGGACTAAAGTAACGTTTCCTTTTAGTAGCACTTCAGATTCCTCGATGCAGCAGTCATCGATCGTAACAAGGAATCGGCAAGTTCTTCATTCGATAATGTCTTATATTAGATTTAAATTTTAAATTTCTAATTACATCTGATTTTAAAGGGCGATCGCAGCGCGTCCTCCTCAGCCGCGACGCAACCCATATCGAGCTGCGAGGCCATCGACTCAGCCACGACGCAATCCACATCGAGCTACAAGACCGCGGTAGATTCTTCACTCGATAATATCATTTAACTTTTAAATTTCTAATTACATCTGATTCTAAAGAGAAATTGCATCTCCTCGGCCGCGGCGCAACCCACATCGACCGCGGGAGATTAAACTGCGAGCTTCGATGTTTCCGCATGAAATAAATGTACTTTTAATTTAATGATAATAAAATATTCCGTTTTTGGAGAAATAGGACTTTACCATTATCGGTACAATTGATAAAGGTGCTAAACCAGATTTGACTATATTTCTTATCATTATCGTAAATTGCTTTGGCCAAGAAAAGAAAACGCAATTGATAATGTTACAATAGCCCAATGGAGCGAACAACGAACGATATAATGCCTTAATCATTAACTCACAACACTGCTGTAATCATCAGCCACTCTTTAATTTTGCTCCTTTTATCGCCAAGTTATCTTTGTGACAGCCGGAAAAAATATTAATGAAGTAAATCTTTACCTAATTTTGACAAGCCATTTTTATAGACAGCCGTAAATCTTTACATTAAGCGACTAATCGTAGAGAGGCTTTTTGATCCGTTTAAGGAATAATAATAATAATAACCTTCATGGCATTACCGTTTACTCGCAGACAATAAATGCTTGGACAACTGGCAATTGGTAGTTTTGTGCTGCGCCACATAGCTGTTTACGTAAATAAAACGTTTTGGCAGTTGTCAATCAATAATCTACCAACAATGGCCTCGAATGTGGTGGTATTGTTTGAGGGCAACCGACAAGTTGTCAAGACAACTCCCACGATGGCCTTGAAACAAATAGTCAATACTGTGTGTACGAAACGCAAGCTTGATCCTGAAAAATATGGACTGAAGTAGGTGCCTTCCGGAGTGCAGCCCATTAGATAGATTAGTTATGGTCGTTCTATTATATCTTTCTTATTGCTTGTGTTATTGTGTACGTTATATCACAAGTACGGGTTTTCAAATATTTACTGGTCGGTGTCATTCATTCGTGACAGATTGAATAAAACGGTTCTTGATCTTTCGTTGTCCGTGCGGTTCGCTAATTTGGCGCCCGGTGCAAAACTTGAATTAGTACGTTTAAATGCATCGAAAGGTACTGCTACAGTTACAATTATGTAAAGCGAGATGTCTACTCTAATATTACGCGACTCTAATACCTCCACATTCTATAATTCTTATATTATGCTCGCAAAGTTCAAAAGGAAATTACTGTTGCTCTTCAGCTTGGCGAAGAGGGAAGATTCATATCGAAGTTTATGCTCAATACAAGTCTGTGGGACATACTCAGTCGATTTGAACAGCAGTCGGCTGATGGGTGCGTATTATAATCATAATGTATCGGATATCGAATGTCAGATTCGTGAGTCTAAACCACATTCTCAATGCTTCCACTGCATATCGTATGCATTCCTATCACGTAGTTCGCTAAACATAACACACCGAACTGCAAAGACAACTCAGACTAATAGGAACGCGTTAAGCAAACTGGTTAGATCAGACAAGACGTTATACTACCAACAACCTGTCTGTATCCTTTCGAACAAAGAGGTATTTTTTAAGTAAATAAGTTGAAGCGCCACACTCATGGGGTCAAGCTGTCGCAAACACCGAATTAATATTAACATTAATTTACGTACCTTGATATCTATCTCATTCATGATATTCTCCTTAATTTGGTTGATTATTAGTATTCAACAATATCAGCACTGAAATCTACGACACTGCAATCTTTAGGACTCACTTCTGGTAACATTTTAATACGCGTATTATTTAGACATACGAATCTTACATTGGACGACGCCGTAGCTGAAATTATGGCTACTAGTACTTCTAATGTTGCAAAGACATCATCCGTAGCCACAAACTCTTCATCTGCAAGTGTTTCTACACATGCACCAACCGCCTCTCCAATCAAAACTTCTCTAACTACACCTCCTTCAACTGCATCTCCAATCACGCAAACATCTAAATCAACGGAATTACCTCACGCGGTACACATCGAGTCCACTGAAATGCCTCCCACTACTGCCGATCTACCGGCAACGCTTTCACAAGGAGATGTGGGCACCACTGATAATTTGTCGACGGAAATTGAAGAAAAAAGGGGAGTCGAGAAAAAGGAAAAGATGGTAGCTGCCGCAATAGGGATCGAGGTACAGGAACAAATGGAAGTTGAGAAAAAGGAGATTGATGAAAGGGAGAAAATGAAAGTTGCGGCAACAGAGATCAAGATACAGGAACCAATGGAAGTTGATGAAAAGGAGATTGATGAAAAGAAACAAACGGGAGTTGCGACAACAGAGATCGAGATAAAGGGAGAAATGGTAGTTGAGGAAAGAGATATTGAGAAAAAAGAAAAAAAGGAAGGAGTGAAAGATAAAGAAATAGAGAATAGTATGGACATCGATGAAGAAGAGCCGAAATTCTTTGACAGGAACGTTAAAGTGTATAATCCACCTCCGGATAATATGCAAATGACACATAGTGAGTGAGCCTCTCGATGCTTAACTATCCTTCATACAAAGGTCATCACAATTGACTTACTAATCCCACACATTCAACAGTCGAACTTCCGGATTCATTCTACGAACTTACACCAACAGAATTGAAATATCTTATTGCAATGCAAAAGGCAAAAAACACAGCTTTGGAGAATGCTGTGTTTAAAACTAAGGCTGTAAGAGACCAAGAATTAGCTGCTCGAGAGCGCAAATATCCAAAGGTACTCTCCCACCGTTTTAACTGTCAGCTTTTCAATCATTACTCTCGTTTCCATGTATTTTAATACCTGTTTGTTATTGGATCTCGGTGAATACACGTTCTTAGACATTGATACGTATACGATTTCCGGATCGAACACAGTTGGAAGGATCGTTTCTGTCAAAGGAGCCTGTGGAAGAATTGTACAGATTTGTAAAAGAGGCAATAAGCACACCAGCGAGAGAATTTTACTTATTTATCACTCCCCCTAGAAACGTATTGGATAATATGCAGATAAGTTTATACAAAGCTGAATTGTCGCCTGCATCAATTGTGCATTTCAACTGGTCAGATCATCAGTCAGGTGAGATAAAACTTTTGTTATACTTACTGCCTTGATACGTTTACTTCATTCTTTATAATCTTAATACTTCTTCCGATATTTGTGCATTCAGACGACCTTCCCTATTTGAATTCTACTTATCTCCTCCTCCGTCAAGATCTTATTCAATCTACGAATGAATCAGTTCCAACATCTAGTTCATTCATCTCAGAATCAGCCGATTCGCACTCTCGTGGTTATTCTCTAAAGGAGTCATCGTCACAAGAGGGCGGAAGTAAGAGAAACGAACGTGCGGCAAGCGCAGATGGAAGTACAAGCGGACTCACGGGCGGGAGGGCAGACGCAAGTACGAGTAAACGCACAAGTGGAAATTTGGATAAAAGTAAACGGCAATTTGCTAAATGGTTCAAGTTTATCAATAAGTGATGTATAAATGTGGGAACATGGATACTGTTATAGAAATTATTTATGATTTATTGTTCTATGTGCGAAACTTTGGAAGCTTGGTAGGATGATGCTAAAAATCTGAGAACAATTTCAGACTTTCGTTGTTCAGAAATACATATATATACCTTCACACTTTTGCAACGCAAGACACATTTTTAAAAATAATTGAATGGTAATTAGGCAATCACATATCCGATAATACATATTCATTAATCAAATCAATCAAACTTAGTACGCAAATAAATGTCTATATACAGAATCCAATACACATATACAAAAATATTTCCAATTAAGCGATATTGCCATGTCATATAACTCGTATTAACCCCACCCAACGGAGATATGCTTTCTTTTCTTTTACCGCCGCCACCGCCGCTATCATCATCGTCACCCCAACACGTATTCTGACTAGTATTAATTATTGCACCTTTTATCACTCACTCGCACGCTCTAACTTAATGCCCGTTCGCATCTTCACCGTTAGGCAAGAACATACACAAGATATCACTCAACGTGATAACACCGATGGGGATATCATCATCATCCACAAGCCATGCTCTGTGAGTCTTGTTCCTGATAATACCAGCTATCACCTGACTCAATGTGAATTTTGCACTACAAGTGAGAGGCTCGATTAATGCTCCTTTGCAGGACTTTAAGAATGCAATAACAGGTTTCTTCAACTCTTTCACTCGTTCTCTATTCAATCCACGGAGATCAGCCGCCGATACTTCCCCGACCAATGAACCATCATCGTCTACGACCACAACCGCATTCACTCTGTCCTGATGTATTCTCCGGAATGCAGTTAGAGCTTGATCGTGTATAGTAACAGATGATGGTTTGCAGAGCAGCCGTTGTCTCTCGGGTATCAACTTGCAGGCTTTATTGGCTACTTCTGATGCCGGGGTATCAAGAACTTTACCCAATTCATGGTTGTGTTTAAATAGAAATCTAACAGCATCTGTTTGTGATATAAAACATGGCTTTTTGTGTTCTTCTTCGTTGAATGAATCATTACCATCTTCGTCGATTAATGCTTGTCTGTCGAAAACAAGTAACCGATGTATTTGCTTGCGAGTGAATATATTGATGAGCTTGATTAATGAGTCGTCCGGAGATACAGTAGCCAAATTAGTTGATTCTGGAGTAAGACCGATCAGTTCTCCAATTGATCTTTGGAGAAATTCGGAGTTGCTCTCAAGATCAGCGTCAGACAATGAAACGAGCGTATTGTTATTGGAGTCGTCTTGATCGAATACTGGCTAGATAATAAGGCAGTTTTCAGGTATGAACAAGGGATGATGTTGCATGTAAGGATAATATTCGATGCGTTAATTTATGTTAACGCTTGATCAACAGATCATATTCTCGTCCAATCACGTATGAATTACTCACTTGTAAAGCAACAAATGTAACCAAGTCGAATACGTTAACAATAGCTATTGGCTCTCGACGTCCCCTCCAGCGTCGATATACGGGGACACTGAGTATGTTCTCAGCGAGCAACAAGTCAAACGCCTCTTCTACTGTAGCATTAACAGGTATCTCGATCAACGACTGAATATTTTGTTTTTCATTTAATACAGAACCAACTGTTTGGTCACTGATAAACGATATGTGTTTTGGAGTATCGTACATATTAATATTGATAAAGATAAGGTAAGTTTGGGCTGTTATGTTATTCTTTATATACAAAGCGTGAATGCCGTCTGCTGATACCCTGTGTCTATGATATCATCGAGTGTAACTATTTAATCGCTGATAATGGGTATATGTATAAGTATGCAATAAGACTCTTCTATACAGAGTTAGAGCTTGCGTTTCTCCTTATCGGTTTAACCCAACTCATTTATGTACATGTTCGCACTCACAAAAACCTTATTCTGCCCTTGGCCCATAATAAATTAGTCTTAACAGTCAGCTGTGACAGTCACTGGTGGAACCACGTGTGTTGCAAGCTATTACAAGTCAGTGTAGCCGTTGAAATGTAGAAGTTTCCATCAATAACCTGCGAATGTCATTTGACTATTCAAATTGACAACTTTGGCCTCAATAATAAAATTATCGCTTACTTCTCACAGATTTACCATTGGTTTGACCAGAACGAGAAGCTTGCACCTTACCGACTTACGTATATATATGGGATCTAACTGAAAAAGGAAAATGTTATGAAAAAGCGGAAAGCACTTTACTTTGTTTGGTTTTGTTGTATCGTTGTGTTATACATAAGATTGGGAATGTGGCGACCAAGCTATCAACTGTCAATCGGAAAATCAAAAGGTATACACTTTATTCATTTTCACTATGTGTCTAAATTGTAAGTAATCTTTTCTGTCTTATAAGAACTTTTCGTGCTCCAGCCTACTATTACTGTAATATGATGGACAGAGTAACACGATTATATGCATTGCTTATTATTATTGCAGAACGTAGCTGTTAGCTTATCGACACGGAAAATAACTCTCGTACTAGTACTAGGTAAGGTATCCGAATTATAAATTTAATAACATAATCTACGTACAATTCGGGAAAATAATGGCAGTCAGCAAAATAGTTTTGAAAGCATTCGCAAAAAAGTTGTTCATAATATGAATTGCTTTATGTTTCAATGCTGGGTTAGAATAAATCTTGTGAATAAGTTATAACTTGATGAAAAACTATAAATTTACAACAACGAATGCTAACAATTTTAGAGCTCGTTAATTAATATTTAATGCCTTGGCTAAACCAAGACTGTTTTCTTGAATAAAAAAAACTTATTGAAAAATCTTTGTGTCATCATGAACAACATTGCTTAATGCTAAGAATTAAAAAGGTTGTGAAAATGCATTTGATAAGCACCGGCATTATTTTTTTTCCCGGAACTGTATAATAATAATGTTTGCGAGCTGTTATTGCATTTATTATAGTTTGTTACATACTAATACGTCTATGCTTTTAATTCATGAGGTATGATCAAAAGAGAGAAAATTTGTCATTCCCACCAGAGGAAACAGAAATGATGGTAATATTTTAAGTGAGAATATTTACCACAGTATTAAATGTGTTTAAAATCAGGTATTTGATTCTCAGCATTCGGAATCTTCTAGAAGTGTTGGTCTAGCATTAATATTAAATAGAAATGGACTACTCAATGCATGAAGTCCAAAGTAATACACATAAACTGAAATTTTATGCATTACCTGCAATTACAATTATCTAACTCACAATGGTATTGATTAGCCTCTTTAAACTTATATTATGATACACTGTATTATATAGACTCCATAGCAAATCTTTTATTTGTAAAATTGCTCTGCAAAAAGCAGCTGGCGTAAACATTCTTGTTTTCCGAAACTACACAAGATTTTTTATAAAGCATTATTGAAGCAATGCTAGTATCTCAGACTGACAAGAACGGTACGAGCTGATGCCAGCATCCGTACAAGACACGACTGAGGCTATAATATTGTTGCCATTTAGCCATGATTATGACAACACAACCATTATAAAATACGCTCGTCAGATTCGCGTGTATTAAGTGCGTTTTAAAGTTTGCGACGTGAGATGCGTGTAAGTGCATTTATCCGATTCTCTTATATTACATTCTTAAATCTTTGTATACTATTCCATTATTTGTTATTCGCTATCATCTCCGTAGTAGTAGCCACCGTTGGAATTCCTCAGGAATCGTGAATTTCCGGCACTTGTTCTTAAACACCGTTAAACTTCTCTCCCTTACAATGTCCTCTACTACATATTCATTGGCAATCATCCTCCGCTGCTCACAAACATGAGCGTTACAGTATGTGTTAATGGATGTCCAATATAAGCGAAAAGGTCGGTTCCGAATGACTCACCTTTGTCTCATCAACAAATATTTGATTTTTAATATCGCTGTTATATGGATCATCGTCAATTATCTTTTGCTGTTTCTCTAACCTTGCGTCGAGTATCTATTAGCCAAAGTGATAGCAATACTTTATTAATGTATACGACTCGGTCGTTCAAAATAATTTGATTACTTACTTTCAGGCACGATTCTACTGCTTTCTCCCTCCTTGTGTACGCATCAGATAAGTGTTTAAAGAATTCCTTGCATGATGCCTCCGAATGGGTATCTGTTGTATTCATCCTCAGCATTATATTATCGTCTATTTTCCTATACTCTTTCATCAGATCTATACTCATGGAAGGGTTAACAGACGATTCAGATGATATTTGAGCGAAGGGATCGAATAATAATTAAGATGTATGCTGAAAGCGTTAATCATTGCTCTTTTATACGACTATTCCGATAAAAAAAAAAACTAATACAACGTCTTATATACGGGTAGATAATATAACTTACCTTTGAAGTACGAAAGATTACTACATGTCTCTGCATCAAACTCGTCGACTCCCATAATAAAAACACGCAATAGAAATTTTGATGTCAAGTATCCACATGATCAATTCATTAAAGATTCTCTATACCTTCACGTGACCAACGAGACGGAATACATATCTACAAGGCATTCTTCTTTGGGTACAGATACTTTCACACACAAAATTCAGCACAACAAAATGAGTGACGACTGGGACAATGTTACTGTTATTCGCAAGAGGACGAGCGTTCCCAAGGTTGCTAAGACACAGTCAGCCCTCAATGCTGCGCGGCGTTCAAATGCTGTCGTAGGCACGGAGAAGAAAAGTACGTTTTACATAGTATTAATACAAGGGTTTACAATATGAACGAATGTGACAAGTGAAAATAGCAAAGACGCCTCTGAGTATCATTTGAATAGATAATTTTATTACGAATACTAAACAACGTCAATAGTGACTTACTTTCTGTATATTAATAATTTACAGCTACTGGTGGGACTAATAGACATACGCAGCAAGATCACCAGCGTCTGGCCAAGGTTGATCGAGAAAACGATGTAGCACCGCCTTCCAAGCTTAGTCCGTCTGTTGGTAAACTTATTCAACAGGCCAGACAAGCCAAAGGGCTCACACAAAAAGATCTAGCAATGAAAATTAGTGAAAAGGCGAATGTCATTAACGATTACGAAATGGGGAGAACCATACCTAATGATGGCGTATTGAGGAAGTTAGAAAGAGCACTTGCTGTGAAGTTGAAGACTAGAGGTAATTGTGAATAGATGAGAGCAAGAGAATGTTGATAATGAGAATGCAAGAATGGTTATGCCATTGCTGCGATTGTACATTACAATTACTCATTCAATTCTTTCAAACTAGGTGGAAAATGAAGAGATGATGCGTTTCGTACGATCCATCTCATTCCATCACCACTCTCTCACCATCAACCTCTCTTTGTTTGTTATTTCTTTCTATTACAACCATTCTTGGCTATCGCGATCACGAGCAATATGTGCCGATTCATGGTTAGGCATTGGTTTGTCATCACATTGGTCTACTAATTATTAGTAAGAATATGCATTGAAGAGTAAAGTGATTATTGATTAAACAAGAACAATTGGAAGAGGAAGTCTATGATCACATAATACAGACAGATCAATAGCCCAGGGAATAGCGTGTTTTTTTTTCTTCATTTCTATCAATTGATTGTCTGGTTTATTGTACTTTATAAATAAAAATCAGGATTTTTTTTACCACCAGTATACATCCGATATTCACCAGCCTCCAAGCACTATACGAGTAGTCCCTCTTCGTTTTGAGCAGCTTGAACCAACCCGTTGATTAGCTGGCAGAGAAAGATATAATAGACAATAAACAGACCGTATCCATGTGTCTATCCGTAAAGTAGTATCTATCTATCTATTTATATATCTATATATGTATAACTCTTTTTGACACAGAGGCTATCCAGCATCACTGCTTTGCTGCGGTTTAACATTCCAAATACAGACGGTTTTGTAAACCGCTCCCTTGTATCCCGCTCACGCCGCGCCTGCGGTAGCCTTGGTTTTCCATTCCAATAATTCCTTCAGATACTTCTCTTCCATTTCACGGGCAAAATCCCGTTCATCTCTTAGCAATTCATTATCCTTCTCCTTTATTTCTGCTTGTACTCTCCACCAATCTCTTTTTACCTCCACTTCGCGAACCTTGAGTTTCAGTTCATCTATTTCTTCTTGCAGTGACGCAGTCGTGTTTATCGAACTCTCTGCTTTTCTGACTGCTTCAATAGCCCGCTTTCTAAATTCTTCAACATCCACTTCACATATCGTCCTACACTTCTTTTTCTCTTCTTCAAGTGTATCTACGTGAGCTTTCAGTTTCTCGTTGTCCTCCTCGAGCGAACTTATTTTTGAATTTAAGTCCTCAAGTTTTGTCGTCAAAAGACCTTTTGTTGTTTTAAGGAAATCCACTTTGACCAATAGGTCCGAATTCGTTTGTTTAAGTGACTCTTTCTCTGACTCTATGGTGGAACAGAGTTTCTTGGCGCGTTTCTTCAAACTATCGTTTTCTATTTCCAAGGATTTTACTTTCTCCTTGAGACTGTCAAACTCTGCGGACATTGACAATCGTGAATTAACGATTGTAGAGTCTTCATATTCCCTGTCAAGTGAGGCAGGACGAGATTCTTCCGTCCGCTGTTCCCGCTCCGTTCTGTAGAACGGCGATTTGAAGCCCAGTGATAGTGGCGAACGGCTCAACAAACTTTCTGAAGGTTCTTCAGTTGATGTCCCGAATTTACGCCTTGCATCATTGAACGCAGCCATCACAAAGTCTTCCAGTATGTGCTTGTCCTCAAGCAGACTAGAATCAATTGACACGCGACGAATATTGTATGTGCCTGTCATGACGATTTTGATCAAACCGGCTCCCGCCTGTCCCTCCACTTCAACATCCTGTTGTGTATTGTTCCCTGTGGTCTTGGATTTTTCGTTGAGATTGCCAAATGCTGCTGCGAATGTCGATGTTGATGGGAGTGTAAGGAAAAGTGGTGGTGCAATGGTTGTAGTAACATCGTCGTCTTGAACAACGTTGGAAGGAATGTCCAATGCATCAACTTTTTCAGTATAATCAGTCCTGCTGATATTGTCCATATGGTCCAACTTACTGATATCAGTAACGGTAATGTTGATGTTGGCGTCATCGGCGAGCCCATATAAACTAAAATTCATTTTGTTATCGGCATTATCATCTTCGTCTTCGTCTTTATCGTAATCATAATCATTATCGTAATTATAATTTTCTATGGGCGATGGCAACGATCTATTGAGCCTATCCAGATCACCCAACTTTCCTTGCAAGTTTGTCCATTTTCTGTGCAATTCGATATATTCTCTCTCCTTTTCGTCTCGCTGTTTTGCCAGATTTGCAGCGTGGTCACGCATAAAGTTCCTCGATTTTGTCATTGCAAGAATAATCCGATCTTGCCTACGAATGTAACAAAGCAGAGTGTGTTCTAGATTTGTGTTTGGTACGACAGATGATAATGTAGGCGTGTGTATCAACGGAGGATTGGATGGAAAAGAGTGAGAGTTTGCAGCAGCCAGCGAAGGAACGCAAGAAGGGTTTGAAAGTGACCCGGTAAGAGGTGTATCGTAATTTGTGGGGAGAATAGGTCGGGCAGTTACGACATTATTCAAGTCATTTACGTTAATTGTATTAAAAGGGTGTGCGGCTGCCACACTGGCTCTTCCATTCATAATTGGAACAGGGTTAGGTAATTGTCCTGCCTCTCCTTCGCCATCACCAGCATTCACCCATTTGAAAAAATCACATGCTGGAAGACAGTCGCTCCTGCCATGTCTTTCGCATCCGTAAAAATATCTTCCGAAGTTCGAATTGTTCTTCTTCACTCTTCTCAATACCGCTTCCTTATATTTTGTAACGCCTGTAATGGAATCGGCCTCACAAAAACATCTTGGGCATTCTGACTGTATGGTTGTCATATTGGTATAGAAATATGGAGGGAAATGTAGTGTATATATACAAGGATGTGATGGGAATGTAATTAATTGATCTACTTTATAAATGTTTCACCAAAAACGAAAATAAGATGCACGTGGGAAATAATAATCTGACTACAATTCAATATGACTTGGATGATTACAGTTTGGCTAGGACGACTACAGCTTATACTAGCTGTCCAACTCTTTGAAAGCTTTGGGCGTATTGAATAAGGGCTCTCCAAGTTCAAGTTTTAACAGAAATTATACTAAACTCTACAAAACCAAAGATCGAGCTGCGAGTTATCCGGGAAAGGAAACTGCCCAAAGCGCTGTATCAATCATTACGGTTTCCTATCTCCTTTGCTTTTCCGGGGGGTTTAATGGGCTGCTTACATGAAAGTTTAATCAAAGCAAGAAAATAAATCATGAGATTTTATTATTATTGAATAAAATATGGCACATACGATAGTTATTGAGGTGGCGAACTGTTTTTACGACAAGAACGAAACTTTCTGCAATGGGATAAGTCTTTAATCCTACAGATTCAATCCTCCATAATCATTCAATTCAAATAATTCGATGTATTTGCCTTTCTTTAACGGGCATGACAACAAAGTCACAAATAGCATTATCGATATAATAATTTTTTTTTTGTCGGCATTTTATTTCTCGGCCAACAGAAACACACCGTGAGATGCAAGTTGCACTCTCGACGCTACCACTCATTTGTATAATAATAACGAGGCATGATTATTACAACAAGGAATTTTGTAAAGAAAGCCTTTACTTAGCAGCAGAATTTTCCGGTGAGAGTATTTTCGATCGCGAGTTGTACTTACAAAAAAAAATTTTGCGTTTTCTTCTTCTTTGGGTTCCTACTTGCTGGCGTCACTCTCACTCAAAAAAGACCCAAATGTCCTGTATCCCCGCGTCATTGTTCCCGATTGTGATTACCAACGCTTTGAACAAACAAAGAAAAAAAAAAGACATGCAAATTGCTTAGAAATGTATGGACATAGGAATTTATAAAGATTATATTCACAATGTTATAATGCATATGAAGTATTCTAAAATCAATGTCCACGATCAGACCTTTTCAACCACCCCACGTACAATATACCATTAAGTTACTCGGCCAAAAGAAACCGAAACAGTATTGTCATTGTTGCAAATAATTTGATTTTCATAACAAGCGAAGCGACAAGTAAAGTCAAAATTTAAAACAAATTAATCGAAAGTCTTCAGAGGAAAGAAAACTATGTAATAATTAATTCGTATTACGAGTCACGAAAATTTACTATCGTCACAAATAATATTATACGAAATTATGTGTTATGCTGTATCTACATATTTATCAAACAAAAAGATATACTCGAACAGGTTATTTGCAGTCTTTATTAGCCACACCTACAGTGACCGCTAACGTGCTACATCCTTAAATAATCTAATGCTTATATCTATTCTAACATATATAATACATCTTACTATATGGCTGACCATCCTTCTGAAGATGACTCGCTATGCGATGGTTGAAAATGGCTAGGTATCAGTGAAAACGTGACTTTGATACGAGTAGAAATTACATCGTATAGGAGTAATTAAACGCGAATAATAATTTATTAATTATATAGGTCACTCGAAGCATAGTTCAGTCTTACGTAAAAGACAATATCGTTCTCCCATTAAAAATAGATACCAACCGTAACAGAGGTTTGCCTGAACCAAGAAACAGCTACAATTTCCATTTTTCGTTATCTTATAATTTAGTGATTCAAAATTTGTTTATTTGTGTAGTTTATTCGATAGTTAACTGTGATGTTTCTACTTATCATATATCCATAGCTAGCAGTCAGTACACGTCAAAACTAATAAAAGTTTGATGGGTTTTGTTTGTCGATAGAAAATTACTTCTCCTCCAGGTATGCAAAAGTACGCATCCTAATCCCGATATATATGTTTAATTAATCACTTTTGCCATCCAATGCTTTAACTGATCGATACACAATGTATGTTGATGCGGAGCTGTGATAGTAGTTTAACATCCGTAAAGGTGACCACACGCAGTTTTATGATGTTTCGTCATTAGAGACGGATTTATTTTACGTAATTTCTAACTGCCGCAGCACAATTAGTCCAATAAAATACATACTCTATCTCATTTCTAATTGAAAGCGAGCCAACTGAGTATTAGATTTGCAATTACTAATAAACATAATTTATCAGTCGGTCAGATACTTATGGAGTAGTGCATTAATACAACGTAATTTTTATTGTTATTTCTTGACCACACCAAGATTCGCAGAAATCAAGATGCTGCCTGCTCCTGCTGTTCCTGCTGTTCCTGCTGTTCCTGCTGTTCCTGCTGTTCTTCCTGTTCTTCCTCCTGTTCTTCCTGTTCCTCTTGCTTATCCTGCTGTTGCTGTAACTAACGCACAGTCAACAAATTAGGCAAAAAACTTACACAGAAAAATGCATTCACAGCAATTGCTATACTCACTTGCTGCTGTCTCCATGCATGTGCCATAGCCAATAGCTTGAAATTAGGCTGTTGCGCTTGATCGTCGGGGAATATGTAATCAAAGTATTCTTCCCATGAAACACCAGCCTGTCCTTGGGTTTCGTCCAACCGACGTCTCTTTTTGACAACCTTTGGCATTTTTGCCTCAACAGACGATAGTGATTCATTCGTGCCATACTCTTTTTCAAATTCCTTCCACGACTCCAGCAAAAGCACTCGCTAAAGGAAGATGAATATGCGATCAGTATGGTAGAAGAAATTGTTATTATAATTGTTATCAATCCATAGAATGCTCACCTCCTCTTTAAGTTCTCTTTCCTTCATGTTATCATAGGCTCTTTCAAATATTTTTCTGGACCTTTCGATAGCAGATTGGCCATATGCATCTTCAGCACCAGCTTCAAACCGAGCATAACTGACCCATACTTTAACGTGATTTGTCTTCTCTAATAGTCTTTCATAAAGCTGTCGTGTCTTCTCGAATTCTTCTTCTGAGAACTCAAAATCAATGTATGCCTTCCACAACAACTCGGGCATGTCTAATACTGGCTGCTCTATTGCTAATTCAAATATGGCTCTGCATCTGTCATAGTCACCCAACATTCGTTCTAATTCGGCGAACTTGATCCATGCATAACAATTGGCCGGAGCATGTTCCAAGTATTTAGTATATAAAGTTCGACATCGATCGAATTCGCGAAGCTATTAAAAAACGAATAATCGTGTTGATAAAAATCAATTCAACATAGTTCAGTAACTTGTTCTCGGATTCGCCTTAATTACCTGTAACTCAAATTCTATATATCCTTTGAATAATCGGTCTTTAGGACACATCCCTATTGTAAAAAGAGATCTATAAGTATGTAGATTAACATTTGGACGATGCCTGCTTGCGGTAAGTACCTATTGCCCTTCCCAGTGTTTTGCGTGCTGTTTGTAAATTAAGTCTACGTATTTCGAACTGAGCGTATAATAACCATATCTTGGCAAACGTAAATCTTTTATGTGGTATCAACTTCAAGCATTCTAAATAAATTTGTCTAGTTCGCTCAAAATCCTATTATGGAATGATCACATGTTATAAAGTTATCACGTGATAGAAGTAATTTCGGTATGCACTAACCTTTGTTTCTAGTTCCTCGTATAAAGCGTAATTGATCCACAGATATATGTATCTCCTCCAGAATCGCTTCTCCTGCGTAGGGGGAACTTGTGCGATAGCTCGTTCATATACTTCACGCACCTTGTTTACATCGTTTGCACTTTCTTCGAGTCGAGCATAATCAAACCACACATCATAATTCTTGGGGTTGGACTTTAGCTCCTGTAATATGCTTGATATTTTAGCATTTTCAATCACTATGCTGTTATAAAGAGTAACATATGACTAGATACTGGTCTGATAACACTTACTTCTTCGTATTGTACTCGACGCTTCCCTACCACTACATCCTCAATGCCCTCTCTATCCCCGTATTGCTTTTCAAATTGAGTATAAGAATTGTATAAAGATTCCGACATGGAGCGAGGAAGTCTGTCTAATGCAAACTTGTATATAATACGTGCTCTTTCAAACTAAGCAATGACAATCACATTGATAGGTTATTATTTAAAAGTGAAAATGATTATCCGCAAATTCTCCAACTGACCTCTTTTAGCCTTGTCTCAAACTTGGAAAATGCTATAAATATCTTCTGATCCATATGATCGTCGCCCAATATCTCTATTGCCTGAGCAAAAATCTCTCGACACTTTTCTAGGCCAAATGAAAAACAGTAACCGGTCAGCCAACATTTAATCATTGACTGATCGTAAGCGTTGATGACTCACCCAGATTATTCTGTTCTTCCTCAAATTTAACCCATTTAAGCCAATTCTTTGGTTGCGGATGCGTGTTAACAAATCGCTCGTATATGAGGCGACATCTATCATATTCTTTGTATCTCTTTTCAAATTTGATGTAAGCATTCCATGCACTCTCATCTGGTTCCCATCGCATCCATCTTTCAAATATCTGTCGGGCGCCTGCTATATTACCCAGTACTTCTTCCATATAAGCATATTTATACCTGTAGTATAGTAATTAGAATAACAGCAACGGCATAGCAACATACAGTAACGATAATGTTATATACCAGAATTGATCAACACGTGGCAAAAGAGTAACAGCCCGATCGAACAGGTTTCTGGCATGACTAATATTTCTATTCTTCATTTCCATCTCAGTATACTTTATGTACAGCGTGACATTGCGCGAATCCACATCCAATGCTCTTTCGTATATTGAGCGAGCACTAGAAACAATAAGAAAGCGGAGGAATTAATTCTGATCGAACGAATAAATCATTTACGATTAGGTAGAAAAAAAATTACAAGCGTTTCATACCGATCAAGCTCCTTCTGACTTTCTTCCCATGCGGCATATTTTAACCAGCTACCAATATTCAAGCGGTTACGTCTGATCGCATCTTCATATTCTTTCCGTTTACGACCCCTGTATTCTGAAAGCTCTTCCAAGTCAGAGATCTTTTGTCTGGGAGCTTTCTTGGCAGTTTCCTGACGCTCCTTCGCCTCACGCAGAATCTGTTCTGCTGTGATTTGAATTGGAGCCGGATTCTTATTCTTAATCTGTGCAGTTCGATATTACGTGAAGGGATCTAATTAGCGAGAGTTAGTTTAGCGAACAAAATGGTGTGGAGATGCACATACTTTAGGCGGACCACGCTGCTGCTTATAGAGATTAGGTACTTGTGAAGGATCCATTTTAAAGGAGTGTTTTTGAAATTTCTGTCGATCAAATTAGTAGCACTTTTTTACTGTCACATGATAAATATATCGATAATGTCACGATTATATTTGATCACAAACAGCAAGAAACGTTTAGTTATATTGTAGTTTTTGGTTTTTGAAGAAAAATGCAGAATGGGAGGGAAAGACAGTATTAATACTAATACTAACACAATTATAAAGGTGGGAATCGAATTACAATAACGATTGGTTTAATTCTATCACGTGATAACAATAAAAGATGCGAAAATAACCACTTTATATTACAGTCAACTTTCTCTATAGTCACGCTGTTGGGAACAATGCAACTTTTGTTGAAAATGTGCTTATAAAGAGGTTGTGACTATATAGAGGGTTTTTCCTATAAGTTCAATAGTAATTGGTTCAAACATGGTGTGCTTATAAAGAGGGTTTTATATGATGTGCTTATAGAGGGTGTGACTATAAAGAGGGTTGACTGTATTATTATATTAGCATTGCTTATGGAATGTTCCTTCGGTGGCGTCGTGTGAGCAGAGTTTATAGTCTGCCGAAGACAAAATCTCGAATATTAAGGGCCTTTATTTGCAATCGGTCATTGCCTCAATCGTTCCTGTTAATATCAGCGGTTACAGTAATATTGAATAAAGTAAGTAAGTATTAATATAATGTATTGTCGAGTTTTTATCTATTAAGCTACACGATAAATGTACACGTAACGATAAAGAAAGCACCTATGCTTTTCTTTAATTAACATACATCCAATCTTTACGTTCTTAGGATACTTCTGCAAATTTGCACACTTTATTAGCACATTCCAAAAGAGTAACACCAAAAAAGACAGTTACTTGAGTAGGTTAGAGGTGATCAAAGGAAGAAAATAATCACCACTCTTCCTGATTATAAGATTAGTGTTAGCAATTGGTATAAAATGCTCAAGCAAACAAATATTACGTTCGTTGGACGAGCAGTGAATATTTTAGCTCTAAAATACGTTCTTTCCTACACGTTCGCTTTAATCCCACTTATATTCTATTTCAAGACGGCTTAGCTTCTCTCGAGTAATAAATAGATCGCTTATGTGCTAATAATACACTTGGCTAAAGCCTTTTACATGAAAGCAAATATTTTTATACTTTATAATTCGCTCTCCATCATTTTTGTTACTAATAATATTAATATTAATATGTAATTTGCACTGTTAGCATTCTATCTGTTTAAGTTACATATTTTTCTACCACTGTTCTACAGATAGTTACTGTATATACTCAAATTAGATTTAGAATGCTAAAAATAGAAGATGGCTAAAGCGGAGTAGAACGTGACCTGATTCATTGGTCAAATTGGCATGTCAACCAATGAAATTGCGAAAAAAACTGCTCCGCGTCTACCCTAGTACTAATGCGTATGATTGTATTGTCGTATGTAAATCCCGTCCAAGGTCATTTATATTTAGTATTAGGTATGTAAATCCGGGATCACACAGTGACGAGATTTACGTAATATAATCATGTGATAAAGACAATCCTCTTAACCACTGGGCGTACGACAAAGACTCTTAAATGGTTATTGTAGTTCAGCGGATAAACAAGTTTAGTCCCCAATTACGCCATTACTCATAAAAATACGAGCACGTGAATTCTGATTATTCCAGTTTGATTCATTGCCTATGTATGGATCAGCAGTCTGCAGATCGTCTCTAATGAATCGATTGACTCTTCCTTTGTTCATCTTGTGAAATCGATCATCCAGCAGCATAGAAAGACAATCTTATTAGCAGTGGCATAGCGGTGGTGGCATAGCGGTAGCAGTAGGAGTAGTGTAGTGGCAATCATTCACATCCAATACATTCAATACATCCAATACATTCAATACATTCAATATATTCAATACATTCGTTACATACCTGCACGTCTATGTTATACCATATGAAAGTCGAAAAAAAAAAAAAAAAAACTTGGCTAGTAGATATTGGATGGGATGGTGGGATAACGGATATATATCATATGGGTGCGTTTCACAGAAACTACTCCTTTTTCGCTTTTTTTTTTCCAAGTCGTCAGCTCATTAAACGTAATAAAGTAAATAACGAACTCTACGAATAGTATATTATTCGGATATTTACCCGGTGTGAAGATAACACGAAATTTATTATTGCTATCAAATATTTGCTCGTTGTGTGTTTGTTTGTGCCTTGCTTGCGGTTACTGATTCGTTATCTTGTTCCATCTTGTTTCAAAAAGTTTCACCGCACATCATTCTTAATTTATGCTTGAAATTATTGGAATCTTTGTTTGTCTGTGTTTCAGCAGATAACAGCTTTGTGCTGGGTCCAGCCATCCTATTCCTTATTCGAATATAGCCCTTTTTTTCAATCTCCAAATTTGATTGATTCGATTTCCTATATAAACGCAGCACCGAAACAGAACATTCTTAGGCAGTTTGATTCCCACACACTTCTGCTCTTGTCTTCCATCATCCTTTCGCTGAACAATTTGCCAAACATGGAGGGTATTCAAAGCCAATTTAAGAGCTATAACGCTCAGCTCGATAAAGAACTCTCCAAATATACGATATTCAATACAGTCGAGAAACGTACCAATGTCCCAAAGACCTATTTGGCTCTCGGTGTTGGTGCCTTCATGTTTGTTCTCATATTCTTTGACTTTGCCGGACAGTTACTGAGCAATTTGGTTGGGTGGGTGTATCCTGGTAAGTTAAGCAACGTATTCAGAATGGAAACATACATATACACTCGCGATATTATATTTTCGTGTGTACATCTCTAGTTCCTTCCCCTTTCCTGTTCATCTAAACTCACCATTACATTCGCTGTCTCCTTGTAGCTTATCGTTCCTTCAAAGCTATCGAAACAACCGAAAAGACAGATGATACTCAGTGGTTGACATATTGGTATGTTGTTCACGTGACGCGACTTTGGCTGGAACGCATCCTCGCAGAAATATTAACGATTGTCTATATCTATAAACTATCAGGGCTGTCTATGGCTTTGTTGCCTTGGTAGAATTCTTCTCCAACCTCATCTTATACTGGGTACCATTCTACTATCTTATCAAGACGCTATTCTTCCTATGGTAACTACCATCAGCCAATTAGTCGATATTTTTACAAACTGTACAGTTTTATTAATCCATTCTCTACTTTACAACTATCCTCTTTCCGTACAGGCTCTTCCTTCCTCAATTCAAAGGTGCTCAGACACTTTACACCAGATTCCTTCGGCCCGCACTCCTTCAATATTCCGGTGACGTGGATTCTGGTATCAAACATATCAAGACCACACTCAAGGCTGTTGCTCACGAAGGCGTTTCCGCTGCTCTTGCTGATCCTAAGATTGATTAGAATCATTCTGTATTTGAGCATCTTATGAAACGTAGTTAGAGCATTCATCGTATATACATATACATATATATATATCAACGATCACTTCATTTGGCTGACGACTTGGATCTCCGTAGCTGTCTGGTCATCTATTGAATACGTGGACTATTGATGCTATGGGGATATGGCTGTTAGTTGAGTGATATACAAGTGATATCAGTCTGTTTGCATATAAAAATAGCAACTGTAAAGAAAAAAAAAAGGAAGAAAAAGTGGGAAAATAAAACAAAAGAGTGTACATTGATTTCATTGATTTCCATCGAAAAATATTGTTTCGTTTTTTGAGAGCTGATCGTTTTATTAATTATGAGTTGACTGGGGGGGAGAAAAGAACTTGTACAATAATGCTGCATAAGTTATTCAGCGCGTGCCATAGAAGAGTAATGTTCTAAATTTACACATATACTTGCACCGAAGCTACTACACACTCTATATACTCTTTGTATATAATAGGCAATGCCGATATTATTCAGCAATTAAAACTTATGAGACAAGGCATGACGACATTAATTGCTCCAATCCCAAAAAAAGTCTCGCGAGAGAACATTCAATCTAGTCTCCATTCATATCATTGTGCCGATTGATGACACAGTTATACACTGTGTGCATCGAATATCAATAATAGCATCCAAAGTCTGTCATCTAAATTAATAATCCCTACGAGATGAAAACATTCCTCTTCCAAATATTAGAAATGTTATATGACTCCACTATCAACGTTCCCATTCCTACTCCCATTTCTATTCTCCACCAATCCATTCTCATTTGTCATCCCTCCTCCATTCTTGCTACTCTCGATTGCGGGTGGCGGGTTTACCCACCCCATCTCAACAAAAAAGTCGTATATTTTCATGAGAATATCGCCTTTGGAAGGCTGTTCCACTAACTCTTTGGCTTGTTTCTTCTGTAAATGTCCACCCGAACGGGCATATGCTTGGAGAAGCATTTCTTTGAACACCATATACGGTTTGGGATATATACATAAACGCTCGCATAATTTTTTCTCCGCGGGAAGGAGGAGGTCTGCGCCTTCCAAGTCGTCTAGAGAAGATATGGATGTAGATTTGCGAGAGTGCTTCGAGGAAGAATTTGCAGTCTAGTGGTTGAAGAATACGGTTGTAGTCGGTGAACAGGAAAACACATAAAGCGTATTCGTGACAGTGAAAAACAATTGCAATCTACAATTACTTACTTCCGTTGCTCGCACTGGTGGGACATTCGCAGCGTATTTGGCAGCCAATCGATCACTGGCGATTGACATGCTTGGACGTGAAGCTGTCTCGCGAGATTGTTCCTACATATGAATAAACGTAAGATTTCTAAATGTAATCTAGAACTATTATATATATACTGTTTCTTTCGTATATATAACTCACGCGCTCAGATTTAGCCTTTTCATATAGTTTTCCATCCTTCAAATTGGTGATCCCCATCTTACGCCATTCTTGTAGTTTCGCTATCTGTTGCCGAAGTTGACACTCTTCTGAAGTTGGCGTTAATTGATGGCATTACGCGAAGTAGCATTTGAGCCAATTAATATTTTAACATATATACCATATCAATTCGTAGCTATGGATCTGGGCACACTTACTCATTAACCCTTCAACAAATGACGTATAATCTTTGTTCGTCAATATGCGAGCAAATGATTTTGTTTTCCCCACTAGATCTTTTTCGTCTCTTGGTCTCTTTTTCTCATTCGTTACATTCTACGTAATCATAAGACAAATTAAATATGTTAGATAACGGCAAACTAAAACTGGCATCTGATAATAGCAAATTACAAACCAAGGCATTAAGATAATAAATAATAGATACTCGCGTCGGATCAGCATACCTTTCTATAATCCAGTAAGCCATGTTCGTTTATTACATCCTTTTTCTCACGCCGTTTATGCAGTTTCTTGTTGTATATCTCCAACATTGCTATTTTTAATTCCTTGTCCTGTTTCGAGTCCTCATCTATGAATTCAATGTCCTTTACTAATTGTTCAGCATCGTTGTCCGCTTCTTGCTCAAATTCATTACGCTTTGGCATATAACCATGGATCTCATGTTCTGCTGGCAAACTTTGTACTCGCTACACATGATAGATGGGAGCGAAAACATCGAAGGCGGAATCGATAAGATTAATGATAAATCATTGTAAAGGCATATGTGTGATTGTACTTGCCTCCCCTTCTGGTTTTGGCTGGACATTCGCTGTCGTATAATGTATGATAAAAGATGATGAATAATTGGCTTGCAGTAATAATTCACACGATACGCCGATCTCAAGATGTTTTCCAAAATGCATTACCTGCAGCTTCAATGCGATTCATTCTCTGGCGTTTTCTCTCTCTCATTTTGTCTTCGTCGATATTGAAGTTTTTATTAATGTCCTACCAATCCAATTGATAGAATAGCAAGCGTCAAATTTGAAGGTATAATTTAATATCAAGCGAGCTATCATGCAATCAACTGATCGCTTATAATGGATCTCCTGATTGTGATATACATACTGGGTAAGGCCATTTGGCGCTCTTGACGTAGACTTCCATGTAGTGCTCATAGCATTCTTCCTTTGTTTTGCTGCCGAGCCGTTCTGACACATCTAGCCAATTTCCTAGACCATAGCTGCCTGCTAGTTCTATTAGTCGGTATTCTTCTTCAGCATCCCAATTTTGGTCATATATTGGAAAGCTTAGAGAATGTTGTTTCTGTATACAAATGCCACATTAGAATAACGCGTATCCTCCAGCCAATAGTACCAACAGTGTCAATAGTGCAATATCACGAATAGCACTTTCATTTATGTAGTTTACATACTATTATTTGATAACGATGTTTGTTTTTATGTTTTTCTGCTTCTCTTCCTTCAGCAAAACAATTTACGCACATGAAGAAATCCTTACAATCCGCACAGCGGAATCTTGTAGTGTTGTCTATTTGCGCTTGGCAGATGCGGCAACGATCCATTATACTAGCGAGAGAAGGGTATATAGAGTGGATTGCATGAAAAGACAGTGAGATCTAACAGGCTAAAGTGTGTTGATGAAATCGCATTGAATCGAATCGCCTTGTTTCCATACAAAATATATCACGTGACCCACAATGGAGTAATCCTCCGAACTATTACGTAGCTATATAATCAAACTCGTAAAACTGATGGAATCGAAAAATGCGCCGAGTACTGTCAGGAAGAGGATCTTCCTGAATAGTCAATTTGATAATCTTTATGTCAAATACTTAAACCGCGGCCCACAATACCAATAATACAACCAAAGTAATAAATGGCCCAAGTAGTAGATATTATTTGCTAAATTGTATACATTACCATTTCAAAACAAAAAGTCAGGTTTACCAGGTTTACCGCATATTGCAAAAATATAATTTTGTATGCTCTCGGCTAATATTAATGACGACGTATATTCTTTCCTAATTTCTGCGGATTTCCATCCAAAAGTGACAACAGCATTTTTGCCGCACAATGGAATCAGTAACTAAATATCTAAAAGGCACGACAGCATGCCTCCCACCGTAACAGTTATACAATAAGTAAGCAATTTTCTCGATTTAGGCAGTAATCACGTAATAGGCTCAAAAAGATATACAGTGTGTTACAAAATTATACATCCAACATAAACACGTCTAGCGCATGCAATTTACAACGCAAACAAAGCTTGTGTTTTGAGCTAAAATTTAACGTATTTAGCAGTGCATTACAGTTGTGGAACAATAACATCCGAAATGCCAAACAAACAAACAAATTCATGCACAAAATGGTATTTCACTCGGCACTATTTATAAAAACTAAAGAGATAATAATCACAAGCATACTGGCTAAATTGCCAAGTCTAAAGGTTTACTATTGCATTTACTTAGTTAATTTAGAATAACATGCGAGTGTGAATCATAAAAAAGTCGCCTTCAAGATTTAACCACGTCTTAGTTGGCGGGATGTAAGCAAGACCAACAGATTAAAGCCAAGTTTCGAGAATATTTCCGGTCAAATTCGAAAACAGACGCTCTCCCTGCGCGATTAATCAGATGCAAGGCTTTGTTTAGTAAGCTTTTGACACGGACTATATTTATTGGCTAATGATGTCATTACATAGTAGTCTCAAGACAAAAACAGGCATGTTAGAAAAAACCCCCAACTCTACTATCCAACAGTTGCAATAATAATAAGAGACAATGCTTTTTTTACTAATGCAATTGCTCATAATCAATAAGTAAACATACTACATTCGCATTACTTAAGCGTTTATGCTACATAACTTTTGAACAAATGTATTGAGCAATTGATTAAAATTTTCAACAATAAAATCGTATAAATGTAAATATTGTTATAATAATGTCAAAAAAGTTAATTTTTGAAATTCTTAAGTAAAGTATTTTATTACTCTTCAATTTAGCTATAGTATTGTTCACTGTAACCATTTCTATTGTGGTAATAATTGTGTTTTATATAAGACATTCAATAAATTTAAATTAATGCATATTGAGCAGGCCGAAAAAGACAAGTTGAGATTATTTATACCAATACTAATACGTTCAATCATAACTAATTATCTGACAAAAAAATGTATTATTAAAAGATTTGGTTGGTTTACTTTCTAGTTCTTTTATTTAAGATCATTTATTTTCTGCTTGTTGTTTATCAATCCATTTTCTATTTTCATTAAACGATTAAAATATAATTTATTAATTAGTAGGTTAGGTCTTTTTCCTCTTTTTGCTAGTTTAATCCTTTCTGGTTTTTTATCAAAAAAAATTTTTTGGCTGTATTTTTACCAAAATAACAAGATTTATTCTTGAATTGAGCTTTACAACTCTGTAAAATTTTTAATTCTAATACTACAACAATGCAGAAGTTTGCTGTATTTATATTATAAGACATTGTAAAACTATACTTGAAAACCAACCTTTATTCTTTTTTTTTCTTTTGAACGGTTTGAATTAATTATTACAGTCAACTCTGTTTATACTGAACGGGTTGGCATAGCTCTCTGTGTCCTTCCGGATCCGGTATATGGAAAGTTTATAAGAGACTTTGGTATAAACAAAGAATTTTCATATGAAATGAACAGTGTGCAAGAATTCCGTGAAATTCCGGTATATACATTCTGGTATAAACAGAGTTGACTGTATACAGTAAGTCATATGTACTGGTTCTAGTACCTGTGAAAAGGGACTAGTTATAGTAGGGATACTGTACATTAGTCTACAAAAGAAAACTTGTGTATTCTATTATTCTCTTCACAGTATGCCTATGTTGTGTCTGAGTTTGGGACCTGTCTTAGTTCAGAACCCAGTCACTCAGTCCAGAACTCAGTTGTCTCAGTCCAGAACTGAGACAAGTTCCCAACTGAGGTACAGTGCCCTTCAATAAATGAGTGAGTAACACAAAATTTTGCAAATTATATGCTAACTTAATTAAACTTGTTCACGATAACATTTTACATGTATCTTTTGTTATTTGTATCACTGTCGTCTTGGTATATTTCCCTATTATAACAATTAAAAGCAGCATAAAAATTTTGCCAACTTCGTCTTCCAAATTTATTTGTTTAATACTCGATATTCTCTATGCTAATTAGCTAATATCAAATATTTTACTAACAAAATGTATTTAGAATGATTATGTTCAAATTTTCATAAAATTGCGAATGGAGAACATATTATGTGTATCTACGAATTTTGTGTGACCTTGATGTGATATTTAAAGCCTTTTGTGTTTATTGCTCAATGAATGTTTACATTTTGCTAATAACAATAACAAATGACTTCTTGATCAGAACTTACTCTTTTTGAACATGGAGAAATAATTGGTGTATGGAAGTGTGGATTAAGTGAAGAGAAAATTTCAGTAGCTTTAAAAAGAATCCCAAGTACTGTCCATAAAGTTATAGTAAAATATCATGATCATCAACAAGAAAAACCTCCTAATTGACCAGGAAGACCCAAAAAAATTACACCAAGAGATAGTCATGCAATAAAAAGAGTTTTTCAAAAAAATAGAAGAACTAATCTTAAGGAAATAAATGAGAACTTTACAGCTTCAACATCTAAGAATGTCTGTGTAAACACACTTTATAGTCATCTTCATGAGAATGGCTTCTATGGCCAGGTAGGGGTAAGAACTTTGTAACAAAAAAAAAATTAAATCAAAAGACTAAGTTGGGCCAAAGAAAGATGAGAATGGAGAAATAAATGGATAACATTATTTGGGGTGATGAGTCAAAATTTGAACTTTTTAGAGGTGATCTTTATGCTGGATTTAATTGTTATTATAGGGAGAGATACCAAGACGACAGTGATATAAATAACAAAAATACATGTAAAATGTTATCACAAACAAGTTTAATTAATACATAAAAAGCAGTTGCAGTAATAAGTTTTTCGTTTATATAAGCATGAAGCTAGCATATAATTTGCAGAATTTTGTGTCACTCACTCATTTATTGGGACCATTTATTATTATTATTATTATTATTATACAGTCAGTTTAGACAAGTTTTTTGCGATACCATGATAATATATAGGTTGTTAAGTGTGAAAAAAGAAATCATAAGTACGTGTATAATCATTTGATAATTATAACGTGCATTTTACAGATTCACCGTGTGTCGTTACTTACATACGATAATGAACTAAGAAAAAGTTTGTCAAATAGTCACCGTGTTAAATTGTGCGATAAGGAGGAATATCGTGAATAGAGCGCAATGTGGAATTATCATACTTTATTACCGTTGTCCGTGCACTTCATCCGGATGGCTCAGCTTATAAGTCGATCAAACTGTATTGCATATGTGACGATTGTTGTATCAAGTTTTAGGAATAAAATTAAAGAAATATCATGGTCTTACGTCCCTTTATTTATATATTTTAAGAGGATGTGCGTGTGCGTCCTTTGCGCGTTTAATCGCGTACACAATCGCGCGGCAATATTTTGGAAACGAATGCAAGAATCGATTACCATGTGATAATCAGGCGACTTCAAACATCTACAGAGATCAATGGTTATAACGATGATTCAGTTCTTTTCTGCTCCATCTATCATGCACTTCTTTTGTGTTCACCATATCTTACTTAATCTGTTTTACTTTACTAACTTCGTTGCTTTTTTTATAATGGTCAAATTACTGAAAGTACCAAACACTCCCGAAGATTTCAATAACATTGTTTCTTATCTTCAGTCTGGCGTCTTTGCATCGAAATACAACACTTCAACAAAAAGAGGGAATTTGCGTCGGAGATGTTAAGGTCTTACTTACGACGACAAGAGTGGTTGTCTGTTCTATACAGAGAAGCTGACAGACGAAAACTCTCAACCAGTCAAGAAACGATTAATTCCAACTTATGACAAGGAATTACGAGAAGCTCTTATAGAGAAATTCCATGTCAGTACCTCTCATTCGAATACCATAAAACATACACTATGCTATACGAGAAACACATCGGAATTGCCCTACTTGTATCCGAAATGTATCAATCAAAAAAAACCCCCCATCATCGCCAGTGCTCCATTAGAACGTCTCCAGATGGACCTGGTCGATCTTCTTTCTTTTGCCGAACATAATGATGGTTATAGTTACATTCTCACAATGGTTGATGTATTCTCACATTATGTCTGGGTTATTCCGCTCAAAGACAAAGAGGAAAGTATGATTAATAAGAAATTAGCAAGACATTTTTCAATGTTCGGTCCCCCCACGGAGCTTCAATCAGACAATGGATGCTGAATTTATTACTGATGTACTAAAGAAAACGTGCGAAACACTCAAGGTCAGTTTTGTAGTTTGAGATTTAAGAATTAATAAAGCTCTAACCCTACTCTATCCTAACCCTACTCCATACTCCAGATACAGCTCGTCCATGGTCGTGTCCGACATCCACAAACCCAAGGAAAGATTGAAAGATTTAAAGATTTAATCAAACACTCACTCGATACCTAACCAAAATGCTGTGGGATGAGGTTTCCCAAACCCAAGGATATTGTTGGATTGACATCCTGCCTGCATTTGTAATTGTATATAATAAAGCACCTCATGAAACACACAAGAAATCGCCGTACGAGGCATTTTTCGGATTTAAGATGCGAGGTGTTTATGGTATGCCAATCGAAATACTTGTCGAATCTAATCAAGTGGAAGGAAGTTATATTCAAGACGCTTATGATGACACTACTGATCATACAAATCAGCAAACTACATATGAGAACCATTTGAAGCAGGTGCAGCAAGTACGAGGAGAAATCATGCGGAATGATGAAAAATATCGAAACAAAAGGCCGCGCAGGCGTTCATCGAAGAAAACCGGCCTTTAACCCAGGTGATAAAGTTGCAATTGCTCTAGATCACGATAACAACCAGAAAACAAGAAAACGAAAGTTAGAGCAGACGTGCAGCATAACGGGGGAGGTGGTCAGTATGTGTAGTAACAATAGAACTGTCAGAATTGAGGTAGATGGGCAAGTGAAGACATTTGCAGCAAAAAATGTGAAGAAGCTTAGTAATTAGACTGATTTGCGATGCAATGGCTTAGTATATTAATATTGCATATCAAACGCACAACCCCGATACAAGATACCATTTGTACATATTGATGAGATGAAAAATTTATTTGATTGTATGTTCAACTATTCGAATACATGGTATCAAAAATTAAATTTTTGTAGTAGGTAACTTCATAACAT